GTGTCTTGGGGCTGCCGGGAACCCAGCCTGTCCCTCAGAGCAACAGATGGTAATCTTGCTGGCCTTGGTCCCACTGGCCTGTACTCTGCACAACTTGAATGGCCCTGCCAGCAGGATACACTCTTCCTCCTGCATTGGGGCTCCTCCAGAGCCTGCAGGAACAGATGTCCCCTTTCTGCCCAAGCCTGTGGCTTGGTTAGCTTTCTAGATGCTTCCAGGAAGCAGAGAATCTGGGTGGAGATCTCTTGGCTTCCTCGGGAGGCATGCTGGCACCCCCACTGGCTTCTATCCGCCTCTCTATTGATTGGCTCTCCTCATTCCAGCACCCACTACAAATGTACAAACATTTGTTGGCCCCAGCAGGGTCTTGCTTCCCTCTGAAGAGGCTGGATTGTGTGGAGCCAAATTTATAAATGAGTTCTGGACTCAAGTCTTACAGTGGGCAAGAGAGCACCAAGGAAAGTAACACTGAGCATCTAATCCATGCTTAGGAACACACAAGGAAGCAGGGAACTTTTACCAGTCACCTTCTGAATGTCAGGCATTGTCTTGTGCCCTGGAAATTCAAAGCAGTGTGGTAAGAAATGGAGCCTGGAAGCTGGAAGATTGCTCAGTGGTTTGAGGTGCTTGCTACCAAGCCTGACCTGAGTTCAATATCCAGTACCCACATGGTAGAGGAAAAAGAGAACCAATTCCTGAAAATTGTTCTCTGATCTCTGTACATGTATGTGTGCAGGCATAAACACATGAGATAGATGATAGATGGATATATAATAGATAGATAGATGATAGATAGATATAAATAGATAGAGATAGATGATTGATAGATGATAGATAGAGATAGATGATAGAGATAGATAGATAGATAGATAGATAGATAGATAGATAGATAGAATAAAACAGTAAACAGTAAAGAGAAAAGAAATGGTGCCTGCACCTACCCCTGGGGGAGAAGTCTATGCAATGTCTTTTACTCCTCATCCATCCTGTCTGTAGGTATCACTGACTCCACAGCTCTGATGAGGGAGATGAGATTGCCGAGCAGAGACCAGACAATGCACGGTCCTTTCAATGGAAAGGCGACCTCTTTCCCCATGTCCTGGGAGGAAGGGGCTGATTTGTTCACAGACACACCCTCTGAGGGAACATTGGCTCCAGTCACTGGGAGTGTGAGCACCCCGTGTAGCCGTGCTGGAGATAGGAGATGAGGCTGTGAGAGCTGGTCCCAGCCTGTGTGCAGGAAGAAGGTACCATGACGGTGCTGCAAGGGAGGGCACCCGGGGCTGAAGGGACAGCACCCAGGGCGCAAGGGAGGGCACCCAGAGCTGAAGGGAGGGTACCCGGGGCTGAAGGGAGGGCACCCAGAGCTGAAGGGAGGGTACCTGGGGCTGCAAGGGAGGGCACCCGGGGCTGAAGGGAAGGCAGCTGGGGCTGAAGGAAGGGCACCAAGATGGACCGTGACAGACCACTCCCTGCCAACATGGAGGGAGCATGGCAGAATGGCTTGGCTTTGGGGACCGAGGGGGTGCCACATTCATGGTTTGTCCAGGGCTGAGAGATTCCCGGGGTTTCAGGACACTCACCCCTAAAACTGGGGAAAAGCTCAGGCCATCTGGTGAGAGTCAGTGGCAGCCCTAAGCCCCACATTCAAATCCTGCCTCTGCTCTGTGCCTGCTGTGGAGACAACCGGTAACCTATCTAGCAACTGTTCATGTTTAAAATTTATTTATTGGAGGGGGCGCTTGTGTGGAGGTCAGAGACAACTTCCCAGAGTCCATTCTCTCCTTTTATCACATGGGTCCCAGGGATTGAACCCAGACTGCCAGGCTTGGCAGCAAGCACCTGTACCTGCTACGCCAGCCCTGTATCCTGTGTTTTAAAAGCCATGGAATTACATTTCTTGCACTCATTCCATCCTTTCCATGCCCACTCCTTTTAAATTAACCATAGTGTGATAATAAAAATAATTGAGCAGAACTTTTATTTGTCTATTTACTTTATTGTATTTGTGGCATAGGTGTGTGTAAGTGTTCATGCATGTTCAGGTGCACATGTATGTGTATGCTCACATGTGCAGAGACCAGAAGTCAGCATTGGTTTCTTCTCATTTGCTCTCCATCTTTGAGATGGGATATCTCACTGCTCCCACCATTTTGGCTAGGCTAGCCAGCGAGCCCTTAGAGCTGCCCAGACCCCTATGGCAGACAGGTGCTACCACACCCAGATTTCTGTCCTTAGATGGGGGTCTCACTATGTAGCTCTAGCTGGCCTGAGACTCACTGCGTAGACCAGGTTGGTGTGGCAGTCACAGAGATTCCCCTGTCTCTGCTTCTCAAGTGCTAGGATTAAAGGTGTGTACTACCACATCCAGAAAAAAAAAATCCTAAAAAATGTTATTTTAAAAAAAATTGTTATTTAAAAAAATTTGTTATTTATAACAAAATTTCCTTATCCTAGGGATGGAATGAAAATGAAGAAATAAAAGCCAAGGCTTTCTGGGGTGTATTCCAGTATAGAGCTCTTGCCTAACACGCACAGGGCCTGCATTCTGTGTCCAGCACCAGAAGAAGAGAAAACAAAAGAGATGTAAGACTTGTGATGGAAAATGGGGGTGCTATGACAGAAGGTTCCCCGAGAACACCCCTGACCATCCCTGCGGGAATTCATTGTTAGGAGAAAGGAAGTATGTCCCCAGAAGAGACAGGTCCAGCCTCAGCTCCTTGCCCATTGCATTTAGGGGAGCTACGAAGGCAAGTACTCTCTAAGAAGCAACTGAGCTTGGGGAAGGGGGCTTGTGCTGAGTGCCCCGGCTAGAGAGGAATGGAGGCGGTGACATTGCAGGCTGGGCTTCCATGGACCAGTGCAGAGATGGGAGGCATTGTGGTGCCTGGGGCATTTGCAGTTTGAGATTGTTGCAGGCAGCTGGCACAAGGATGGAGAGCCAAGTTATGCTCAGAGTAGCAACTCTGTCTGCCTCTCTCTCTCTCTCTCTCTCTCTCTCTCTCTCACACACACACACACACACACACACACACACACTAAGCTCTCATGAAGCTCACGATGACCTGGTACCACACCTTGGCGTTACCTGGTACTGGGGCTTCATGCCTGCTAGCCAAGCCCTCTGCCAGCTGAACTACATCCCCAGCCCATTCAGGAGGGTTTTTTTTTTTTTTTTGTATATTCTCACAATTCCTTTTATAGAGGGGCAACACAGAGGATGTCAAGAATGGTGAAAGGCCTGGGCTTCATCTCACCTGCAAACTGGCAAGCTAGGGCCAGCTGTGATGGTGCTCATCTCTGTGAGTTTGAGGCCAACCTGGTCTATGTAGAAAGTTCCAAGTTAGTGAGGGCTACATAGGAGGACCTTGTCTCAAAAACAAAAGAGCAAAATAAATGTGACTCCTACCATTGCCTTAATAGTCATGCTAAGCCATTAACAGACCAGATTAAACAAGATTCAACACCAGCCCCTGTACTCATCTGTTTGACTGTCTCCAAACTCTTGGGGTGGCTAATGACACCCAGTCACAGGTGACTGTGCCTCTCTTCGTAGTGGCTTCCTCTAGGCCTCTCCTGGCTTTCCTTCCATCTGGAAGAACATTTTCCCCTGGGGCTATTGCCTACCTGTCTGTCTTCATGGACACATTAGATTCGCTGGGGTGTTGTCTTCTGCCTCCCGTAAGGCTGAAGGGGGCCCAAACTGTTGCCCTCAGAGATCTGAGGCTAGCTCTCCAGTTGAAGGAGCTTCCTCTAAGCCATCCTGCTTGGGCTGATTTTTAGGTTACTAACTTGCATGCACTCATACCCGGCTCTGGAGGTTCGGCATTGGCTGGGTTCCCGTGCTTCTTACCACTCAGGTCTGGACAACAATCCCTGACTCTAGGAGGTGGGTGAGCAGAGGGGACATAATCCGCATTAGCGTGGAGGGGAGGGAGTTAGAACACATGCCCATGGACCACCCACGGGGTGCCAGAAGTCAGGGAGGGACCCCCAGGTTCATGAAGGCTAATGCCTCCTCAGGAACATCCTGGTTCCCTCCCAGTCATGCCCACACTGGCATTTGTGGGGCAGAGACTTTGAGATGGCCTTCCCATCAGGTCAAGACTTGGCTCAGGTCTTAGTGAGCAATTCCCACCAGCCCCAGGCTGCAACAGAAACGATCATGGCCTCCCAGAGTTCTTTCAGCCCAGAAATCCACCCCAGACAGAGCCAGCCTGCAGAAGGATGGCACTGGGACTGGACTGGAAAGGGTGGCAAGGTTTTTAAAATATTTAGTTGCGAAGTTAATTTTCAACAGAGTATATATAGACATTTTAGACACGATCAAATAAAACCTACACGCACACACAGCCCACTCCTGCCTGGTCTTAGCGCCCACCAGCTTGCTTTCCACCTGCCATGCTGATGGAGGCTGCAGCGAATTAGGGGCTTCTTTTCTGGGAACCTTGAATCTTGCAGGCCCAAGGACTCAGATGGGGGTGCTTCTGATAGTTCCTGCCATCCCAGAGATGAAGAAAAGTGAACCCTCTTCTGCTAGGAAGTTTGAAGGTGGCAGGTGACACAAATCGCCTCGCTTCCTTACCCCAGGGCTGTCTCTTTTCTCCCCCAACTTTCACCCTTCTAGTTTTGACCAGGTAGACGTGGCTGGCCTCAAATGCTGCTCCAAATGACCCACTAGCTGTGTGACCTTGGGTTGCCACCTGGGCTCCAGGGTCTCAGTTTCCTCTTTGTATCAAGAGCTTGTTCACTCTGCGGCTGAACTACAACGGAGCCTGCATCATGCCGAGCCCAGAGCCCTCAGTTTCCTCATTCGTCTGATGAGAATGTTCACGCTGAGTGTTAACTGCAACCGAGTCTGCAGAGCCCAGAGCTCCGCAGGGGCTCAAATGTCCGCATTCTGGGGGACCCAGAGAAGACCAGAGCCCAGACAAGCAGGGTCGCCCTGGAACCCAGCCGCCAGCTGCCGCACAGCCACCCAGTCACCACCCTCCGTGTGAAATGAAGTCCTGGGCGTGGCGCACACACCCCGGCTCCCGGCACGGAACGGGTGCGGGGCTGGGCCTCGGCCGGCCCCGGGGGAGCGAGTGGGGCGGGGCCGCCGCGCCCGCCTTCTCCTCCTCCCGCCGCGCGGGCTCAGAGCGGCGGCAGCAGCGGCCGCGGCGACGTCTCCGGCTCCCGCTCCGGCTCCCACGCTCCCGGGCCCCGCGCCCCGACCCCGCCGCCGCTCCTGCCGGGGGCCTCGCGCGCCCCCTCCGCGCTTCACGCTGAAGTTCCTGGCCGTGCTGCTGGCCGCGGGCATGCTGGCGTTCCTCGGTGCCGTCATCTGCATCATCGCCAGCGTGCCCCTGGCGGCCAGCCCCGCTCGCGCGCTGCCCGGCGGCACCGACAACGCCTCGGCCGCCGGCGCCCCGGGCCCGCACCGCAGCCTGAGCGCCCTGCACGGCGCTGGCGGCTCGGCCGGGCCCTCGGCATTGCCCGGGGAGCCTGCTGCCAGCGTCTTCCCGCCGCCACCCGGGCCGCTGCTCAGCCGCTTCCTCTGCACGCCGCTAGCCGCTGCCTGCCCGTCGGGGGCCGAACAGGGGGACGCGGCGGGCGAGCGCGCGGAGCTGCTGCTACTGCAGAGCACGGCGGAGCAGCTGCGCCAGACGGCGCTGCAGCAGGAGGCGCGCATCCGCGCAGATCGGGACACCATCCGCGAGCTCACCGGCAAGCTGGGCCGCTGCGAGAGCGGCCTGCCGCGCGGCCTCCAGGACGCCGAGCCGCGCCGCGACACCATGGCCGACGGCGCCTGGGACTCACCAGCGTTGCTCCTGGAGCTGGAGGACGCGGTGCGCGCGCTGCGGGACCGCATCGAGCGCATCGAGGTGAGCAGCGCGCCGTCGGGGCCACGGGGTGTGGGAGGCGCTGCCCTGCCAGCGACGCGCGGGTCCCGGATCCCCAGGGCAGTCACCCGGAGCACGCTCCTGGCTGGCACCACGGGAGAGTCCTGGTTCGGATCCCAGGTGGGAGCCTGACATGGTGACCGAGACACGCGAGTGGGAGAACGTGTCCACTTGTAGTGGAAATTGATTGAGAGGCAGGTGTGGCATGTTTGGCACATAGGAGGCTCTCCTTAGATGTCCTTGTACAGGAACTCGGAGCAGCACCCGCCCCACACTCACTACCGTTAGGAAGTATGCCCCTCATGCCCAAGAGTGCCCTATTAACACCAACCTACGCTCTTGCACCACCTCCCACCCTCCGGCCACGCCCAGCTTTATATACCTGAAGCTCTGGACTCCTGGGGAGTCAGCGGATGACTCTCCAATAGGGACCAACTTAGCTCCCTCCTCCTGCTTTTCCAGGTCAGATACAGGAAGCCTGGGCAGTAGGGACCCTACTCTTGAGTTGTGTGTGATGCTAAGCCCATTGGTTGATTATACTTATGGTCCCCTTTCTCCCTGTTACAAATTCCCAGCCTGGGGATGTAGAGGTGAAACAAACAGATTGGGCAGTCCAAACAGCCAGGAAGTCTTGGCCATTCCCAGACATGGACTGATTCCCAGACACAATAGGCAGTTAGATCGGGGACAAATGCATATGGCTCCATGCTCACTCTGGGGGTGCAAGAGGAGAAACCTGTGGGAAAGTTGTAGGCCCTATTCCAGAAGACCACCAGGAAGTCAGCTGCTCACACCCCCACTTCAAGGCGTCTGGACCACAGCCTCCCCACATCATCCCCAAGGCTTCTACTCCCCTTGTGGAAGTGAGAAAATCCAGCTCAAACCTCCTGAGCTGAGTGGCAGAGGGGGAGGCCAGCCAGGCCAGCACCTTCTTCCCTGCCCAGGGGTGAAGTTCCAAAAATCAAGAGTAGGAAAAAGACTAAGTCTGCAGGGAAGGGCAGCCTCAGTCTCCTTACCTGTACAATGGGCATCGTGACATCTATATCCCACCAAAGACTCCAAGTCCAAAGACACAAACATAATTGGGAGCAGACTCTCCCCTTACAAAGATTGTCCTAATGTGAAAATCATTTGTTTGGTTTTTTTTCCCTTCTGCCCCAGCCCGGGCATCACAGATGGCACAGGTGGCTCCTCCCACGTCTGTGACTGGTGGAGCTGGGATGACCCTGGCCCTGCTCCCTGGCATCTGCCTCTTGGCAAGGTGGGCTTCCCTATGGTGGGCCTGCTGAGGCAGAGGGATCCTGGCGCCTGGGATTTGGCAGCGGGTCAGCCTCCCAGGCTTGGGGAGCCCCGGCTTCCCCACATTCTCCTTCCTGTGTTTGCTGACTGCAGCGGACATGGGTCTGGTTTCCGAGCCTGGCAGCAGCTAGAGTCAGTCTCCTGGGGTCCACGCTGCCACTCTCCGTGGGGACTCATGCATCCCTAGGCCACTGACATCCGGATTTACAGGGTCTGCCGTCACCAAGGGTAGTCCTCCCGAATCCACTCTAGCTAATGTCCCCCAGAGGTCATGACCTGAAGGGGCTTTCCAATCTCTGCCTACTGACTCCTTTTAGACCCATGACTCCTTCCCTTTCTGGCTCCCCACCCCCTCTCACTGGACCACGGCATCTGTCTGCTTCAAGACTCTCCTTGGCTCTCCTCTCACGTCCCCTGGGTGGTTGAGCCACACCCAGGGGCTCCCAGTGCTCACTCCACAGGATCCACAGATCCTGCCTGCATCTGTGTATCCACTCCCAGCAGCCTCTTGACTGGTCCCTTGCCTCCAGGCACATCTGGGAGTGTTCCTACCTTGGGGTTCCTCCGTGGGGAGCACACTTCTCAGCCTGAAGCCACCTGCTTGAATCTCATCTGGCTTCTCAGCTTTCTCTTGGGTCACCCCCCCCGCCCCCCCCCCACAAGCACCAGCTCTGGACTCCTTCCTCCCAGAGGCTTTCCCTGGCCACACCATGACCATCCCCCTCTCCCATCACCACCCACCTCTGCACCTTTGGGTCACCCCTGCACCTTCCAGCCAGACCTGACTCCAATAGGTGGAGACATCAGACTGACCTCCTCCTCTTATCCACCTCAGGTGGGGGCCAGCCGAGCCTGAGGACTTTAGAAAGAGCATTGGTTTGATGGTTTGTTTTAGTTTTTCTTGTTCACTGGGAAAAGCCCACATGTTTGGGGAGAAATTTCTCAGTCTGACGGTTCTCTTCCCCTTTCGCAGCTCCCTGATACTACTCCAGCAGCAGGTATCCTCACAGGCCAGGGCAGAGTTCCCATTTCCCCATCATCCCTAGCCTCTGTGCCTGGGGAGGAGCACAAGTTGCCTCTGATTTTCTCCCTTCTGCAAGCTGTGGCAAGGTTGTTTGCTTCCTCTTTAGTTTGTTGAATGGAGCCTTTAGCTGAAGTCCCTGGGGTGCCATTCCCAGATCAGAGGATGTGGCCTTCTCCTGACTATGGCCAAAAACCACCTTTCAATGGAGCTGGTCCACTTAGGCGGCATCCGGCCATGCCGGTGTGTCCCAGAGTTCCACTTTTGTGCTAACATATGTGTAGGGTGAAGGTTCAGGATTGGTTTAGGCAGAATTTCCTTGTCATACGCCCCATCCTCTACTGCCCTGTCCCCATTCTGGAGCAGAGCCATGATGAGGAGCATCCTGAGGAGAGAGAGTCCCAGCGGGTGCTGGGTTCAGGGAAGCCACGCTTTCTGATATACTAACAGTGATCGTCCGTATTACTAAGCACTTACTCTGCTTCCGGAACTTCATATCAACCCATTTAACCCTCCCTCCACTCTATGGAGGAGACCTTATGCCTCTTTCCCAAACAAACCAGACTCAGAGTTTAAAACACTGGCCCTAGGTCGCCCAGCATGAGAGCCTGGATCTGCCCTCTCAGTATCTAGCTCCAGGGTCCTGTCTGGTTCTTCATGGACCCTACACTCAGGAATCAGACAGTGAGAGAATACCAGGGAGGGCAGTGCTCACCTTCGGTGTGATGGTGCTGGACAAGTCTCAGAGGTTGACCCTGCCAGTGTGGAGGTTCCCCTGGACTGCCAGGAGCAGCTGGCCCCTGTTAGGTATGTATTATACATTGACTCTTTCAGCCTCTGTGACGTGAAATAGGCCATGTACATTTCTGTCCTGGGGGGAGGGGACCCGAAGGCTCAGAGTCTGAGGGATGCAACCCGGCAGACCTCTGCCCCTTGCCCCTGTCAGGGTTTCCATTTGCAAAGAGTCTGTAGGGAGGGCCTGGGATGGCGTTCCATCGGTAGAACGCTTGCCAAGCATGCGCAGAGCCCTGGGTGCAATGCCTAGCACAAACTAAGTGGGGCTTACGGTACAGGTACACCTGTAATCCTAACCTTACGGTACACACCTGAAATCCTAACTTTTAGAAACAAAAGGATGAGACTTTGAAAGTCACCCTCAGCTACATGGAGAGTTCAAGGCCAGCCTGGCTACATGCAACTCCATCTCAAAACACCTAACACGCCTACAGCAGACCAGATGTTTCCTAGATACCCTACCAGCTCTAAATGGCCCCAGATGGGCCAATTATATGGGACTTACTGCTTGGAATGCTCTTTTCAGACCTCAGTTTTCATGTCTGTAAAATGGGTGAGCTGGGCTGTGACAAGCCCTTCACTGAGCCTGTAAGTGGTAGACCTTCATCCTAGCAAGAAGCCTGGCTTTGTAAACCCTGGATCTGCTACCATCATGCTGTAACCTCAGACCCTCCTGTGTCTGATCCTCAATGATACCATCTGTTCAATGGGAAGGGACACCCCAAGTCCTTTGAAGAAGTCTCTTGTCCTCCCAGAAAGAGAGGCCCTTTTTTATTTCTGTGGCTTACCATACATCCATGGTCTGTCAGGGTTCACACCTCATTTGTAAAGGGTCCAAATTCCGAGTGAACAGGTCTGGTCAGGATATGTGGGCACTCCCAAGATAATAATTGCAGCCTTCTCAGGTCCTGAAGGCTCCCTTGGGACTCCCAAAGTCACTGGGGTCCCCCCATTCTGACTATGGTCACTATTAATGAGGTTTGTGTGTGTGTGTTCTTGGTTTTTTGAGACAGGGTTTCTTGTGTAGCCCTGGCTGTCCTAGAACTCACAGTTGGAGATCCACCTGCCGTGGCCTCCCCGTGCTGGGGTTAATGGTGTGTGCTACCATACCCGACCCAGTAATGAGTTTTGCTTGTATTTGAACCTTGCACGGCTTTGTGCCAGTGCCATTACGTCAGGTGCCTGCGGCGGTGGCCACTTGTCACTGTTTGGAGGCACCATCACACGCTAGCCTGTTCAAGGATGGACCTTCGAGTTCTGTTTAATTCTAGCTTGAAGCTGCTGCAAACACTCTGTGGTCTCTTCGGGTGGCCGTCAGCCCTCCTTTCTGCTGGCCCTGTCCCCGGCAGTGGGCTGCCTGGGTGCCGGCAGGGACGTATATTTAGCATATGTAGGTACTGTGACACATTTTCCCAAAGTGGCTGTAAGCAGCTCCACACCCACCCGGGAGCAAGCCTCGCCTCCAGGCTTGGTCAACTGCAAGCTTCCCTGAGCTGGTGGGTGTAAAGGACTCAGGACTCTCATGGTTTAGATGTGTATGTTTCTGCTAATCCATGGCATCAGGCACTGCGCCACCCCAGAAATCTTTGCCCATGGTGGGATGAGGTCAATGGTTAGGCTGCTCACAAAGGAATGAACTTAACAGGGCGACCCCAGGATGGTTTGAGTGTCTTATCTCTGTTGAACTCCGAGGACAACTGGTGAGTGTATGCGTCCTCCATAGCTCTACCTAAGGGGAATAGGATCAGAGAGGGCAAGGCACTTGTCCAAGGCCCACAGCATGGTGGAGCTGAGCGAAGACTATTGCCGGGATTTCTAAGTAAAATGATCTGGGATAGGGAGTCCCTGTCTTTGCGGAGGACACCAGGGGAGGCTCAGCATGATCAGGACCGTGCACGGCTGTCTCCACTGGCTTTTTGATCAAGTCACCCAGCTCCATTTTTCCCTCAGTAAAGATAATAGTAACAGTAACAACTGCTTGCGGGCCACACGGGACACGCCACCTTAGGTCCCGCCTTACATCTGATCGCTTGCACCCCAAATGCAGGAAGTATTAACATACAGTCTGACTTTCATAGATGACCACCACGAGGGTCAGAGTGGTCAGGCAGCTTGCTCGAGGCCACAGATCCCGTACGTGAGGAATCCAACAGCTGTGCAAACCGCTCGGCTAAGAGTTGGTGACAGTCAGTCAGGCACGGCGTTGCCAGGGCACACCGTGGCTGAACAAGTGAATGAGGGCTCAGAAGCGATGACAGCACTTGGAACCCCAATCTCTTCTCAGAGCATCTTGGCTTGGGCTTGAGGGAAGCTGCCATCTGGGAGAGCAGGAGCTCTCTCGGGCGAGGGTGGGGAGGGCCGGGAAGAGTATTCCTGGCAGAAGGAACAGCAGGTGCTGGAGTCTCAGGGTGAGATGGATTTAGGGTGTTGGGGCACGGGCACCTCATGCTGAATCAACCATCTCACCCTTGCCTTCTGCCTGAGCCGCCTCCTCCCGCAGGCGCCTGACGTCTGGCGGTGCTGACTGCTGACCGTCCTGTGCCTAGTTTTCTCTCAATGTAATAATTTGACAAATGATTTCAGGGTTGGGTATGGAAAATGTGGATCCTTTCAAAGCATTTATTTACTTATTTTTGAGATGTGTTCTCAGGTAGCCCAGGCTGGCCTTGAACTCATTGTGTAGCCAAGGATAACCTTAAACTTCTCACCCTCCTGATTTCATCTCCTGAGGGCTGGGGTCCCAGGGTGTTCACCCTCACACGGTTTGTGCAGTGCTGGGGGCCTCTGCCAACTGAGCTGAGTCTCCAGCCCCTTTAAGACGTAGTGAGGTAGTGTTGGTGGCAGTGACCATAGCCAGCACTCCACCCAGCTCCCAGGCCTGCTCGGAGATAATACTGCCCTTGTACCAACAAACAACATTTTTTTTTTTGAGACAGGGTTTCTCTGTAGCTTTGGAGTCTGTTGTAGACCATGCTGGCCTCGAACTCACAGAGATCCACCTGCCTCTGCCTCCCGAGTGTTGGGATTAAAGGCGTGTGCCGCCACCACCACCTGGCAAGGCGCAGCATCTTTTGATAACCAGCTCCTCAGCTGATGGAGTAGGGGGGGGGGTGAGCTGGCAGGACTCACAAGATATTGGCACAGCTGAGTGGAGGGTTCTGCACCACTGTTCCCAGAACCAGCCTGAGCAGGCAGGGGTGGGCTGCAAGGACCCTGATGTCAGGCCTTTCCTCTACTCCTGTCACAGAGGAAGTAGCCATTTGCATGAAGCCAAGGCTTCTTTCCCAGTTCTTTCGACACCTCAGCCGTGTCTCACTAGCAGGATTATCCTGTGGGGCCCTCTATGAGCCTGACTTTCTCATGTCCACTGAGACCATTCCTAGCAGCCAGGGCAATGTTACATACCCACTTTGCAGAAGAACAAACTGAGACTCAGATGTGAGGGTTGGTACCAGGAGTGGGCACAGGATTGCTGTGTGACATTAGGCAGGTAGCCCACCCTCTCTGAGCCTCAACACCCTGGTCTCTAACTTGGAGCAACTGAGAAGTGTTTGTCTCATGTCTGGTATTAGCAATGCTGCTGCCCTTGGCATTCCCTGTTGAGTACTAAGGAGCCTCCCACCCCACCTCCATCCCCATTAGCTCATAATGGCTGGGCTGGGCCTAGAACCCTGAGATTTGGCTCTAGGCCCAGATAGAATAAAGTTTACCACAGACTCTCAGCATCCCACCTGGAGTCCGGCCCTCTCTTCCTGCCCTATCAGGCACTGAGTGGGGGATAGTGTGACATCATCTCCGCTTGTCCCCCTACCATCTCAGGCTGGGGCCCACTTGGCACGAGGCCCGGAGCCCACGCCGCACAGCCTGCGCCTGTGGCAGATGGAAGCAGGGTGGGGGCGTCATGTTTCTCTGATTCACATGCTGGGGTGGGAGAGATGCTGCCTCCTAGCCTCTGAGCCCCCTCCTCCCTGGCCTCCTGGTGCCACCATACAGGAGCTTCGACAGAGGACAGTTTGTACGCTTACCCCAGCCACCTGTGTGTCCCCCTCTAAGGAAACAGCAAACCCTGCAGTGTCCTGGTCACTCGGGAGGGGAAGGAGGAGGGAGGGAGGACACCACCCAGCTAGAGATAGGACAGTGTCTCTCAGCATCCCTTGAGCACCTTCAAGGCACTGGCCCTGCTCCTGAGGACAACTTAGGGACCCTTTCAGCCTAGGTGACCCAGCCCTGGCCTTGGTGGTCATTAAGAGTCATTGAACATGCCTCTTAGCCTTTCCTGTGATAGGGCACAGGTGTGTTCCCTGTGTGGATGTGCTCTGTGGCACAGGAGCTGCTGTGGTCACCAGTGGTGTGACCTCCAGGCTGAGGAGGTGCAGGGCCCCACCCTCACCACAGCCGCTGTCCCTCAGGAACAGAGTAGTAGGATGATGGTCCCCACGTGAGGACTGTGGTCAGGACTGTGGTACACAGAGAGAGAGGCCTGTAGCCTGGCTGGGGTGGGTGTCAGCCACAGGGTTTGGGGTGCAGTGGGACACAAGCCACACCCATCCTGTGGATCTGTCACAGCAGGGAAGCTCGGTGGGAGTCACCTATGTGGCCATAGTCACAGGGAGCCTGCATTCAGGCTCAAACAACTCTCCATCCTGCTCACCACCAGCTGCAGGCTCCTGTCAGCATCATGTCATGAATCCCCCTGGGGAGCCCTGCACCCTCCGTGTCCTGTCTGTTCCCAGCTCTGACGCGTGGCTCCCAATCTGGTCATTGGTCAGTCGCGAATGAGGACCTGGTATACCCCACAAGCACCCACTGTGTGCGTGAGCGCCTACTGTGTGCACCAGAGAGTGAATGTCCTTTTCGGTCCAAACCTGTGGCCTGGCCTGCCTGCCTCAATTCTGCCCACCAGGGTGTGAGACAGGACAAAGAGGGACCGTGCACACTGTCCTCATCCTGCGGTTGGATAGTGTCAGAGCCTGCCTTGGGATACCCTGAGCGAGATGGACTTTGGTGCCAGCTCTGTTTATTGGCATTGGCCACATAATCCTCCCCAGGACAGTTCCAAGATGACAGTACAATTGTCTCGTGAGGAAATAAGTCCAGAACAGGCAATAGGTTTTCCTTCATCATACAGGCAGTTAGTTCCCAAGCTGGGTTTGAGTCCTTAACTGTCACTTGAGTCTGGGATTCTTACCACAATTCCAAGATGATGATACCAGAGTCTCATCCAGAGGACCAGGCTGCAGGCATGTCCTGGAAGGTCACAAATGCCCTCCCTCCACTGCGTCCCAGCCCTTGCAGGGGGATTCGTGTCATAGGTCCCAACCACAGGGGGCTCTAGAAGCTTCCAGTGTGGTCCTTTTCCGCTATGAAACTGTGCTTGTTTGAGTTCACTCCTGCTGCCTACGGGCTCTGTGCGTAGGCTGCCCGCCTTTGCCTCACTCTCTCAGCTTTGCTCACTGGAAGCCAGGCTCACCTGTGGTGGCCGGCAGAGTGGTGGCATCTCCGTGTGACTTCACCATCCTTTCTTTTCCTCTGGAGCAGCAGGAGCTCCCAGCCCGTGGGAACCTCTCCTCGGCATCGGCCCCAGCCGTGCCCAACTCCCTGCACTCCAAGATGGACGAGCTAGAAGGGCAGCTGCTGGCAAAGGTGCTGGCACTGGAGAAGGAACGCGCTGCCCTCAGTCACGGCAGCCACCAGCAGCGACAGGAGGTGGAGAAAGAGCTGGATGCCCTGCAGGGCCGCGTGGCAGAGCTGGAGCATGGTAGGTCCTAGAGTGCGGATAACTGAGCTGCGGAGCCCTGGTTTCTGGCCATGACTTCCAGAGGCTGTGGAGCGGGAGAGAAAGGGCCTGCTTGGGGGATCGTTGTCACTCTCAAAGCCACTGCTAACAGATGATTGTTATCTTCTGGTTCTGCTGGGTCCAGGAGCTGGCTGTTCAGTGACACGCTGGCTAACTTAATCGCCACAACTGCAGGGTTTTTCACAGGTAATGACGGTGAGTTTGAGAGAGGTCAAGGGACTTGTCAAAGGTCACACAGCCAGGGAGCAGGTGTCTAGACCCATGACTGGATCCTTTAGACTCCTGACCATGTGTTTAGCCGTCCACAATTCACACCTTTTGCTAATCTGCCAGCCTTCTGGCATTCATTTAACCCCCAGGCCTGGTGCTGCCGGGGGTCCAAGAATTGTAACAGACAGTGTGTAGGTGCCAGTTACCAGGACTCCTGGATTCCAAGGCTGTCACAGACTCGCTCTGTGACCTTTCAAGGTCATTTTCTTTCCTCAGGCCTCAAGGTTTTCACTTGAGAGATGGAGAGTGAGATTAGGGATGTATGAGCTCCCATGGCCCTTGTGAGGGGAAGTTGGGGAGACAGGGGAAGCTGGGGGTGGCACACGTGTCTTCCTGGAAGAGGGGTCTTAAGTCAAGTGGCCATGCTGGGTTCAGGTGTAGGGGAACAGTGGGCCTGGGGGGGGGGGCTCCAGGGAGGCACCCAGTTGAGTACTTGAACTGTGGCAGTAGCCTCTGTCCCTACTCAATCCAGCTCCTACCACCCACATACCAACACCCTGAGGACCAGGGGAAGTGCCTCCTTCTAACTTCTAAAGTCCTGGTGGCTCCCCTCCCCACTCCTCCTACCCAGCCCCCAGCCACACATCACCTCCCGTCCTGGGGCTCTATGCCTATTTCTCTCTATACTGAGTTGAGTCTTTGACTCTTTGTTCAAATCCCAGCCCTGCCGCTTTCTTTCTGTGTGACCTTGAGAAAATGACCTCTGTGTGCCAAGGTATACCTGAAAAATGAGGGCTGTGGCAGTGCCTGCCTTGAGCGCTTGTGAGGAAGTGACGTGCGGAAGGCACTTAGACTCTGCCTGTCACAGAGCACCACATAATGCTTAAGTTAGCAACAACTCTAAATAGCCATTATTATAGCTGGTATTTGATAAGCCTACCATGGGCCCACCAACCCTCACTGTGGAATGAAGAACGTGTCATTAGCCCATTTCACTGAAGAAATGGAGGCCAGAGGAGCTTGCATTTATCTCGTTGAGACTCATAGGTCAGAAAGTAGTAAAGGCGAGATTTGAACTCAGGACATCTGAAGTCCAGAGCCCCTAGGCCTAGTTTAGTCACACCTCTCAGCCCAGAGGCAAAAGTAGAGGAGTTGGGATCCCTTGGCACTCCCACCCCAGTGCGCACACCTGCGCCCTAGTGGCCTGGAGCCATCATTCATTGTCGTTGCGCAGTGTCCAGACCTTGCCCTGTCCCTTCCAGGGTCCTCGGCCTACAGTCCCCCAGATGCCTTCAAGGTCAGCATTCCCATCCGCAACAACTACATGTATGCCCGCATTCGCAAGGCGCTCCCGGAACTCTACGCCTTCACTGCCTGCATGTGGCTACGCTCCCGGTCGGGTGGCACCGGCCAGGGCACCCCTTTCTCCTACTCGGTGCCTGGGCAAGCCAATGAGATCGTGCTGCTAGAGGCCGGCCCTGAGCCAATGGAACTGCTGATCAATGACAAGGTGGGCGGAGTCTAGGGCATGGGCGGGGCTTAGGGCTCAGGGGCTGGGGACGGGTGGGCTCTGCTTCCCAAAAAAATTTCCCCCCACTACCTCGGTGCTAAATGTGGGTTGACACTTTCCTTCTCCTGTTCACCATACTCAGCACACATTAAATACCTACTGTGTGCCAAATTCGGTTCTGGCAATACAGACAATCCAGCTGCGGGCGGGGCTGACTAACGAAGGGGAAACAGGCTGACTTCCAGGTCATGTGGCTAGAGCCCAGCTTACAGGCATCTGCACCCCGAGCCCTGTGCATTCTCCTGAATAGAGAGAGAGAGGAAACGAACTATTAAAGGGCTTGTCTGGCGAGAGGCGGGGGCTGCTGGTGATCCCCAAAGCATATACCACAGGTCACACTCGCCTGGCATCAGCCCACAAGCTATACATCTGGAAGGTCCACTGAGCGTCCAGGAGACTGGATATAGTGACCCAGGAGGTCATTGTGTTGCCTTGAGGTCCTGAGATCGCAGGGGTGACCAGACTCCACTTGAGAGGGCTGTCCTGACCCCTTCATCTTGGCCTGCCTCTACCACTTGGTACCACTTGGTAGAGGGCAGCACTAGGCTCCGGAGATGGAGAATTCAGCACCTTGGACAGGGCACAGAGCAGTCCTCTTTCTTCCTGGCTGCGGCTCTTCCCTCCTCTAGCCTGTTTCTTTATTCTGCTGGAAGCGCTAGATTTGCAGTCCCATAGCCGAGTCCATGTCTTTCCATGGGACTTTTGTCTTGGCCCACAGTATGGGGTATACAGTCGGCCTTGGGAAGTCAGGACAGCAGGAGCAGCGCTAGCTGTGAGGGCCCCAGTGTGAGGTGGCTGATCACATTACATCCACAGTCCGGAAGCAGAGGAAGATGAATGGGGTTCTCTGCTGGCTTCTTCCCTTTTATTCAGTCTGGGAACTGCGGCCCAGCAGCCACATTTGGCCTTCCTCCTACCAGATCCCTCTAGAAACACTCCCTCATGAGCGGTAATGCCCAGAGGCGCGTCTCCTGGGTGATTCCAAATCCAGCCAAGCTGAGAGTGGAGGTGAACAGTCATGGGCAATGTTGTCCCTGAAGCCCGGCTGTCCCGTGCAGGCACGCTTTGTTCAAGGCCATGCCCAGATCCACCCTCAGAGTCTGGAATGGGGCCTGGCACCCAGCAGGCACCAGAGACTGCCTTATGAAGTCGTGATAACGGAGCTTTTGTGAGACAAAGCCACAGATAAGTGGCGTTCACCTCACAGACCAGCACCAAGCCATCAACAGAGGCTTCCAAAGCACCATGAGCAAGAGACCCAGGCTGCTTCTAGGCTCATGATTGAACCATGTCTGCCTTGGGGGCAGGAAGAGGCAGCAACTGTGTATGCTGTCTTCCACTTTATAGATGAGGCATTGGAAGAAAAGAACAGCCTCCTCGAGGTCACATAGGGGCTGGTGGCAGATCCAGGGCCAGACACTGGGACCCAGCCTCTGAGTCCAAGGCTCATTCTGGCATAATGGGCCCCACTGTGTGCTAGGCACTGATTTAGGTGTATAAGGGAAATGGGTTTGTGGACACTGTCCCTACCATGTGTGACCTCGAGGCCCTGAAAACCACAAAGATAGTCCCTGTGACCTGAAGGAAACTGCTTAGCGGTGTCATTGGAAGAGGGGGAGCTGGGACAAGAAAGACAATGGGTAGAACCCAAGTCAAGCCTTGGGTTCTGTCCCTAGAGCAAAGCTGAGGCTAGCTGCAGAGCCATGCCACTTCTCCAGCCTTGGGCCTCTCACCTGGGTTTGCATCCTGTATCCAGGTGGCCCAGCTTCCTCTGAGCCTGAAGGACAGCAATTGGCACCATATCTGTATTGCCTGGACTACCAGGGATGGCCTGTGGTCTGCATACCAGGATGGTGAACTGCGGGGCTCTGGTGAGAACCTGGCAGCCTGGCACCCCATCAAGCCACATGGTATCCTTATCCTGGGCCAAGAACAGGTAAGGCTCAGGTGGCGTGCACCCCCAAGTCTCTATGCACCCACTCTGGGGCCCCTGCCAAGGAAACGAGAGGAACTGAAGCAGAAGCTAGCATCTTGTCTGACCCACCAGTTTGCAGATGGATAGCAGATAGCTAAAGAAACAGGCGGAGCTGAAACCTGGGAGGAGGCTGGAACCTTGGAGTGGTGCTAGGGAAGGGCATGAACCTTGGGAGTGAGGCTGGAGCCTTGGGAGGTGGCTTCCTTGGGAACCTAGCTTTGGCAGGTACGGGCCAGGTTGGATTGCCTCTGCCCTTCTTCTCTCATCCCATGTCTCTCTCCTTTCTTTGTTTCTCTCTTGGCCCAGGATACCTTGGGGGGCCGATTTGATGCCACCCAGGCCTTCGTTGGTGACATTGCACAGTTCAACCTGTGGGACCATGCCCTGACACCTGCCCAGGTCCTAGGCATGGCCAACTGCACTGGACCACTGATGGGCAATGTCCTCCCCTGGGAGGATAAGCTGGTGGAGGCCTTTGGAGGTGCGAAGAAGGCCTCCTTTGATGTCTGCAAGGGGAGGGCCAAGGCATGAGGGGCCTCCTTGCTCAGGGCCCCTCCCTTCCTGTCACTTTGGGGACCTCCTCAGCCTGTCCATGTGCTGGCCTTCCCTCCTACCACATTCCTGGCCATACCTTCCTCTTCCCATCACTTCCCACACCTCCCAAATGCCCTGCCCTGGATGGATGACCCCTCAGCCACCTGGGTAGGGACCAGTATCTCAAGTCATTTGATCTAGCCCAGGGGAGTCGAGGCAGTACCACCTCCTGGCAATGTTTTGGCTCTGTCTCTCCGCTTACACCCTCAGCCTCCCACCAGTAACATCAGACCCCACTAATTCCAACATTCCCTGAGGGGTTATGGGTAGGGGTGGCCTTTGACCCTCTCAACTCACGCTTCAGGCCTACACCAGGCCATAGAAGAGATGCCAAGATGTATGAGATCAGACCCTCCTCGTCTGTCTTCCTCAGTTGCCCACCCACAGGGGCTATGGGATCATCGCCTCCACAGCCCCCTCCCCCGCCCTCTTTGCATCCGTTCCTTTGTGTGTTGTGGTTTGAATGTTGGTTTCATGTCAGTTCAAACCCCACCTCAATTTCCAGGATGTTCTCTTCCCAGCTCCCACCTAACAGCCAGGGACCAAGACCTTGGAGGCCAAAGGGCTGTAATTACTCCCTGTACCTCCTGGCAACTTTGCCTACCAGCATGGTTGACCACCCCACCCCCATGCCTATGACAGGACCTGGGTCACTCTAGCCTAGCCTGAGAGCATCCAAAGCAGAGGCACTGTAACCCAGGAGACATTTTCCTGCCAGAGCCCAATGGCTTAGCCACCATATGAACTCCTTCTGCCTGGCCCTGGAAAGACCGGCGGATACTGAGAGGGCGGACCTTGCTGCTGACTTGCTGTGTGACCTTCTGTAAGAACCTACCCTTTCTGGTCCTGGCTTTTCTCCTTTGTGAGCTGAGGCCATAATGTTGGTCGCATCTGAGAAGGCTGCATTTAGAACATGCGGTGAGCCGTGATACCTGGTGGACAGAGCAGGCAAAGACAGCACTGAAGGCCCAGTGGCTTTAGCACAGAAGGTTCTGGACCTAGATAGCAGATGGGATCAAGCTAGGCTGGGGTTAGGATCACAGCGGGCTCAAAGGGTCAGGATCAAGGATAAGGTTCAAGGCAGACCAGACACACATAAGCATTAGCTCCCATTGGCTCCTTCATCCTTGCTCTTCTGAGAGCGTCTCAGCTAGTGGCTTCCTGGTCTCTGTCTATAAGCGAGTCCTTCTCAGCTCCCCCAGGAGCCCAGAAGAATGTCAGTGCTGAGAAAGGCCACCAAATGTGAGCTCCTGCTTGTGAAAGATGCGGAAGAACAGAGAGGGCAATGAACTTGTCCACGATCATACGGCCCAGGACTTCTGAATCCTCCTCAGTGTTCCTCACTGTGTACCATACTGCCTGTCCTTAAGGGTCTTTGAGCCCAGCTTATTCCTGTGCAGGGAGGCATTTGAGAGGACACCAAATGCTTTTCAGAAGGTCACTGGGACATCTCAATGCGCCAGCCATCCAGCCTCAGGAGGTGAGGGAAAGAGCCAGGACAGACAGATGCCTGAGGATACAGTGCCCTCCTGGTCTTCTCCCAGGCACTGAAGCAGTAGCAGGCTGACTGAATCGGTGGGCACTGGTGCCCCCCACCTCTGCCTCTGCCAACTTTTGTCCCTGTCTGTGCTCCCCATGGCCATTCAGCCTGAGATATGACTCAGGAGTGGGAGGTTGCAGTCTATGCCCGGGAAGTGTGTCCAAGACTTGCCTCTGGCCTGCAGATCTGTTTCCATTTTGAGAGCAACTACATGGCTCAGTACCTCCATCCCCATCCCCTGAAGATAGTTGCAGCTGCTTCACCCAGACCTGCTGAGATCCCCGTTGCCCAGTAACAGCCAATGACATCAGCCCCAGTGCTGGGTCAAGTGTCTGTCGTTCAAGTTGTTGCTGGGTGACAGCTGGATTCAGAACTTAGACCTCAGGGACTCTGAGCCTCATCTGGCTTTTGCTATTGTTCTAGAAGAGGTAGCTTTAAGGGGGCCTTGGGAGGACAGAGTCTTAGGAAGAATGTGACAGAAACTGCCGGGTCATTTGAGCCCACCAGACACACCATCCTGATCCTTTCTGCTTTGTCACAGTGGCAATGAGAAATGACACCTCAGCCACATTCCCGTGCTGGGTTGCCCTGGTTCAACTCCAACCACCCCCCCCCACGCCAGGAGAAAGAAATGGAGGCATTAGGGCATGTCTCTGAGTGTGGATCACTAGGGAAAGGGCCGGCTCTCTATTTCCAGAGCCCCCACCTGCCCTCGCCTATTGTGTTAGAAACATTCCCTGAGCATGTAGACCCCTGTTTTGATGCCTTCTGCTGCTCCCGACAAGACAGCTATGACCCTGAACTGCCCCTGGGTCTGATGAAGATGGAGCTGGGCTTGTTAGGTAGCCTTAGACACTGGAAATCCAATCGGGCACTGTGTCTGCACTATCTGGTTTGTCCTCAAAGCACAGTTATGAGGTAAGGCTGGTCTTAGCCCATGATGCAGGAGAGAAGGGCGCACTCTGAGGGTAAAGTAACTTGCCCAGACTCGGCCAACTGGTAACAGTGCAGTTTCTATTTGGAGGCAGGTTGTGTGCTCAGAGGACAGTGCCACCTCCTTTAGGGTACAGGAGCAGCAGAGATGGGGTGTGAAGGGTCTCTCACGCTCAGGCCTCAGCCTCTACCTGGGCTGCAGTTTGCAGGGTGGGAAAGGAGGAAGGCAGGGCGAAGGTGGCTCCTCCTCAGCCTCCTGTTCTGGACAAGGCCTGTACCAGGTGCTCTAAGCTGATCCCTGCCAGCTTCCCCACCTCTGAGGCATGTAGTGCCATTTCCCACGACCTAAGACATCATCTCGCTATGGTTAAACATGATTGGGGACCACAAACAGGGGCTGAAGATCTGTCGGAAGGAACTCAACCCTTGGCTTGCAGATGGGGAAGCCAAATCCTGGCTGGGGAGCTCACATGACCCTTGACCCCTCTGACTGAGCTTCATTTTCTCCATTTTCCCCCAAACTGGGTCCCACCTACCCATAAGTCCCAGCACCCTTGACCTGAAAAAATTGGAGAAGTGTCTCCTCCCAGGTAAGGGCCTCCTCTCCTCACCCTTTCACTCCAGCTATCTGCCACCCCCAGGCCCCGCCTCCCAGTCTATCCCCTGCCCCTGCTGGGTGGGGAACCAGCTCCTTCCCAGACTGAGCAGCTAGCATGTGAAGTTGTCGTCAGACACTGAGATGAGTGCCCTCCACTGCCCTCTCTCCTCACTCTGCTCTATTTTGTATATAAATGACATGAGATATTTTGTGTGTGTGAGTGTGTGTATGTGATTTGTGTCATGGTTTTGTTACCATTTTTGTTTTTGTAAATTTGAACGTTCTAAATAAACATGTGGTTTACTCGGAGGAGGCTCTTCTGTAATGTGGGAGTTGGGGGTACCCTGACCCCCCAACAGAGCAACAGCTGCCCCAAAGCCTCACCCATCTGTATCTGCCCCACACCTGGCCTGGCTAGTTCGGCTGAGCTAGGCTCAGACATGCAATTTCCCAGGATTTCTAAGAAAGGCTGCATAGAAGCGAGTCCCACGTGGAAAGTGCCCCAGTTCTAAGTCGGCTTTGGCCTCATTCCCAACACCCCTTCCCCACCTGTGCCCCAGTTCCAGAATCCGGGTCCCTGGTGTTGCTTAGGACCCAATCTTCCTAAGTCACATGCCCAGACCCCAGAGATCTGCATCTCTTTGGGGGCCGTGGGAGGTGGTACAAGAAGGAAAAGACTATGGTGTCACAGCCCCTCTGCTTCCCCCTTGCCCCTTTCCTTCCCTCCCCAGGTTTTGTCTAGGCTTGACTGGTGCCTCTGATCTCTAGATTGGACTCAGACTAGCACTAGGTAGGATCCAGACCATCTTAGGTGGAACTTACCAGCATGGCATTATTCCCTGATGAACTTGACCTCAAGTGGTGACCTTTAGAAAATCAGGGTAGAGGGACAGGGTTGACAGAGCTTCCCAAACTCCCAAGAGTGCATTTAGCCTTGGCAGACACACCTCACACGGGAAAACCACGTTTGGCACTGCTGAGGCCTCTGAGCATCTCTGAGATTCCAGGTTTGTATTTAAAATACAATCCCGGGGAGCTGTAGACAGATACACCTGAAGACTGAGCTGCCGGCCAACGCGCCTTGTTTATCCCATCTTACACCACTTTCCTTGTGGACACCCTCTCTCCCTTTGTCCCACTGAGCTGGCAATGTCCTGCCCACCCGGGAAAATCCCCTTCCACCTGTTCCACACCTGCTCAGACAAATGTAGCAGGCAAACCTGGGGCCCTGTGAACATTAACCACACAAATCCACAGCCAGAAATGGCCCAGGAACACCCATTCATCCCCTCCTGCCTCTGCTCGAGGTCTCGCTTTCCCAAACAGCAATATTATATCCTTTCTGTCCTCAGCCTACAACCCTTCTCCCCAGCCCTGCATGCCGGAGGGATCGAATGATGGGCCAGTCTTCCCTGGGTACCATCCCCAGGCCTGACGATGAACTGTGTCAGCCTTGTTCTCAGCTCCCTCCTGCCACTCCAAATGAACTATGTCTGCTTCTCTCAAGATCTGGATCCATCATCTGACCTTCCCAAGAACCTGCCTCCTGGATTACCAACTCCTTCCTCGTCATTGGCTCTGTCATTCCTGTGGGCGTGCAGGTGACCAAGTGTCTCCTCCCTTAAATAGGCCTTGTTTGGGCTTTTAGTTGCTGAGGTTTCCAATCCGTGGTCAGCTGGCTTCGTCATTTCTGGGTGGTGGCTGAAGCAGAGCATCATGGTAGAAAGGTGTAGAGGAACAAAGTTGCTCCCCCTTGGGGGCCAGGAAGCACACCAATACATCATTCAGAAAAACATCCCCACGGCTAACTCCTCCAAACAGGTCCCACCCCCAATAGTCCTAAATGCAGTGAATGGTGGAGTCAGAGTCCTCCGAGCCAATCACCTCTCAAGAGCATCATCCGCGAGAGATCACCCATGAATCTCTCAGGAGGATACTTCAGACACCCACAACATCCGCTTGAGCCAATACCCTCTTTGGGTCATTCCTTGTGTTTCTGTTCCTTCTGTTACCAAACTTCCTGGAAAAGCAGGCATGTCACTGGAGTGCCTGCCTAGCGTTTGCAAAGCCCCGGGTTCCGTCCCCAACTATAAACCAAGGGTGGTATTAGATCTGCAGGCCCTGGAGGAGCAGGGAGCTGGCCTTGGCTCTAGGAGTATCATCTGTGGGACCCAGGTATGCAGCAGGTGTTGGGCGGCACTAGCCCCAGCTGTCTGCTCCCACTCAACAGAGCTGGTTCAGCCAGCTTAGCTAGTCCAAGGTCAAGGGGCTCGCTGTCAGCCTCAGAGCTGCAGTGAGGGGCAGTGTCCCCTCTTCTGAGAAGCCTAGGACAAGGACTTGACCTCTGACCTCCCATTTCTCACCTGTAGGACAGAACACCTGCCATGCTGCCGAAAAGGAGCAGAAGGCAAAGCTGGAGACAGGGAGGGTTTAGAGGTGTCTGTCTCGGCACAGTCTCCAGGATGCCGTGCATAGGTTGTGCTGCTGAAGGTGATGTTTTAGCCTCTCTCTCTCTCTCTCTCTCTCTCTCTCTCTCTCTCTCTCTCTCTCTCTGTGTGTGTGTGTGTGTGTGTGTGTGTGTGTGTTATGTTTTAGACAGGGTCTCTCTATGTAGCCCTAGCTGTCCTGGAACTCACTTTGTAGATCAGGTTAGCTTCAAACTCACAGAGATCCACCTGCCTCTGCCTCCCAAGTGTTGGGATTAAAAGCGTGTGCCACCACTGCCTGACTTGTGTTCCTTTTTAAGAATCGGTTTCACTGTGTAATTCTGGCTGAAACTCTCTGTGATTAAAGGCATATTCCTTGGGGCTCAGCTGCCACAGTATATTTAGCCTGCAGTCCAGACTTCCTCCATCTTCCCACCCCTACAACTTCTCAGGCCTCACTCAGTGTCTCCCTTTGCTCATCACAATCTGGACATGCTGGGCATCCCGCTGGTCCCCAACATGTGCCAGACAGGAAATGCACACATGCATCTCTTTGGGTCTGAACTGCTCCTTCTCCTCGTTTCCCCACAGACTCACCTTAGCTTGCCACTTAAATCTCATTTGTTACACAACACTCACAGAAATCTTGCTGACCACTGGGCTGATTGGTTACTTGGCCATTCTGTCTTTGGCCTGCCATTTCATGTATCAGATCTAGGAACTTTCCACTCAGCCTGGAGCTAAATGTGCACCTGCTCAGGGGTCCTCTTTCCTGGTGGCCTCGTCATGTACCTCTCTTTGTAAACACCTTATTGTGGGCCACCCAGAGTGCCCTACTGAATGTGCATCTCCACCAGAGCAAAGAAGCTGGATTTACCTTTTTCGCTATTATATATACACCTCACTTGGAGCAGACGAGGTGCTTACTAACACACATTAACTGGACACTAGCAACTGATAAACGCCGAGTGCTCGCTCTGTGCCAAGCGCTCACTGCTCTCAGCACTTGGCGTATACTAGCTTATTCTACCCAACAAGGTAGAATTCTAGACGGGACACACCCTTTAGTCAACCTCTGACACTGGAATTAACCACCTGAGATAATCCACTTCCAAAAAGATAGGGTTTGTTTTGCCTCGCGGAAGTCCTAGTCCATGGATTGGCTCCACTGTTTCAAACCCAGGGTGGCACATGATGGCAGGAGTGTGTGAGAAATAAAACCACTCACCTCATGGCCAGGCTGTTTTAGAACTCACTTTGTAGACCAGGCTGGCCTGGAACTTGCAGAGATCCACCTGTCTCTGCCTTCTGAGTGCTGGGATTAAAGGTGTGCACCCCCATGCCCAGCATGTTGTTTTTTACAACTGATTGGGAAAAGGAAGGGAAACAGCCTCCCCTGAGACCTAAAAGGAATGCAGCCCTAGGGACACCTTGGTTTTAACCCCGTGAGAACCATTTCGGACCTCCAGAGCTAGCGATGATAGATTTGTGCTCTCAAGTCCCCAAACTCGTCGTAATTTGTTACAGTGGCAGCAGAAAAGTAATTAATATACTAATTCATAATATGCTCAGACAAAAAGCCAGTCTCAAAGACTCCAGAAACTCATACTGAGAATGAAAGTAGAGCTATAAATGATTACAAATGCTTGTAAACGATGCGTTACACTTTTTGATTTCTTTTTTTATATTTGAGTCAGGGTCTTACTTTGTAGCTGCTGATGGGTTTTCTGTACCCTGATAACAGGAGGTTTCTCTGCCAGTGCAGTAAATCAGATCAAGTCAAATTTTAAAAAGTATAAGAATAGGTTTAGTTGAGTAAAGTAACTCCCAGGTGAGTTCTCCAGTCCCAGAGATCAAGACTGGAGAAGCCACAAGCCTGAACTAAAAGCAGGGAGATTATATAGCCTGTAGGTGAGGGGTGGTGACGTGTCTGCCACAAGCTAGGTGTGTGCCCAAGTGTGGTCAAACACTGGAATACTTAGGCAGGGGCGTGGGCTGCTGGCGCTGACAGGGGAGGAAAGTAAAAGATAAGAACAATCAGGAGCTAGGACAAGGATGAAGGAAACTGTGGGCGTGGCTAAGAGCCTCTCAGACAGTCCTAAAAGAGCCCTTCTCAACGGAGCTCATATCAGGAGCGCTGCTTCCTGGAAGGACATTTTCAGGGTACACATCGCCCACTTACAACCCCAGGAAGTACTGGAACTACAACCCCAGGAAGTACTGGAAGTCTGCTCAATGTGGAAGCAGTGAGAGAGCATCGATGTGTGATTGTTGTCAGTGTGACTAAATACAGGCAGAAGCAGTTTAAGGAAGGAAGTGCAGCCCAGCACTGTGGCCCACATCGTCTTTAATCCCAGCACTCGGGAGGCAGAGACACAGAAAAACCCTGTCTCACTGGGCAGTGGGTGTTGTATTTGGAGCGGCGGGCCTGCGTCCCCGGCACCCTGCCGACCGCACGGCTAGCTTTACCCGAAATAATTATACGGAAACTGTATTCTTTTAAACACTGCTTGGCCCATTTCTATCTAGCCTCTTCTAGGCTAGCTCTCACACCTGGACTAGCCCATTTCTAATAATCTGCTGTAGCCCACAAGCTGGCTTACCAGGAATGATCTTAACCTGCGTCTGCCTGGAGTGGGAGAATCATGGTGACTCCTGACTCAGCTTCTTTCTCCCAGCCTTCTGTTCTGTTTACTCCTCCCACCTATGTTTTAACCTATGAGGGCCAAGCAGTTTCTTTATTGCTTAACCAATGAAATCAACAGATTGATATATGACACTCCCACATCAAGTGGGGGTGCAAGTTTTTAATCCCAGCATTAGGGAGACAGAGACAGGAGGATCTCTGCAAGTTCGAGGTCAGCCTGGTCTACAGAGCTAGTTCCAGGAAAACCAGGGCTGTTACATAGAGAAATCCTGTCTCACCCCGCCCCCCCCCAAAAAAAAAGAGAAAAAGGAAAAAAGAAAAGAAAAACCCTGACTCCAAAAGAAAGGAAGGGAGGGAGGGAGGGAGGGAGGGAGGGAGGAAGGAGTGTCTCTTCTAGCTCATCATCTGGAAGTATAGTCCATTATGATAGGGAAAACATGGTTCCCTTACATCTTGGTGGCTCCTATAGCGGAGAGGAGAACCGGAAGCAGGGCAGGGCTATAACCCTCAGGCCTGCTCCCCAGCTGCCTGCCAGCTAGGTCTGATATCCCAAAATTCTACAACCAAACAGTGCTACCATCTGGAGATCAAGGGCAAAAGCCACAAGCCTACGGGGGCATTTCACATCCAAACCGTAACAGCTTGTCAGAAGCACAGTTAAGTTAAGGAGCAAGGCAAGAGCCTAAGACAGAAGCCAAATTAATTGGAGACCTGGGGGACACAAGAGTGTGAGGTGCCCTGGTAGCCAGTGGCTCTCACTGTTAATGTGCACAGGGCACACTAAGCAATGCTCCTGCCTCTCCCCATTCCATTGCAGGAGACCCTGGAGCCTGCATTGCAAAGCGATCTTCTGTGGTGGATTGTGTGAGGATTCTTGTGGTTGGTGCGGCCAGCAGGGAAGATGGGTCCCTGTGAAACAGAGACTAAGAAAGTCTACCGGTTTCCGCTTCTCAGAAGGTCACTGCTAACCACAAGAGAGGAAATTTCCGCGGCATTGTGGGAGTGGAAGCCAGATTGCGGTGGGCAGAAGAATGAAAGGGAGGTGAGAGAGAGAAGATGGCAAACACAGACCCCTTTTGGGAGACGTTTGTATGGGAGACAGAAAGAGCATCCTCCCCCTCAAAGGCTGCCCGTCGTCTCAAGAGAAAGTTGGAAAAGAGAATGAAGGAAATTTGGAGGCTGAGTAAGACTTTCCACAGACCCTCAGAACTTTTCAGGAAGACAAGCTGGGGCTGGCACGAGCAGCAGAATCCACGCTGTCAAGTCTCAAAACAGTCCTGGTGTGTCTGCTCTCAGCCTACACAGTCAGGCTAGGGTTAGTGCAGCGTTCCAGATCAAAACTTGCTATCGCCTTCCTGGAAGCTTCCCACCAATGACGGTGCTCCATGTTAACCTCACACCAGGGGGCGGTTATGTATCAAACCCCTCCGTCTACTACCCTACTTCCCTCTGTGTCTTCACCCCTACCCACACTACATTGGCTCTGCACCCAGGCCTTCTAGAGCCACTGCCTATTCCCAGGCAACTTATTGTCCCACTCTCATGAGCCTTCTGGTCATCTTGAGCTCTGCCCACTTAGGTGCCACACTTAGAAGGGCCAGTATCCTGCCCTCCATCTATGCTATAGAAGCGTGTGGAATAGAAGATTCTATATCCATTTCTTCTCATGGTTCTCTTCCTGCTGGACTGTGGCTTCTCCGGAATCAGCACCTTCTAGCCAGGGCTGAGCCTCCTATAAATGACCGGAGACCGGCCAGTGGAGCTTCACTAATGAGGACGTTAAAGTGTAGAGTAAATGTTTAAATTATGGGGTATCCCGCTGACCCTTTGATCCATTCTTCTTCCTCGTCACCTTCCTCTCATCCAGCTGCACTAACACTTTTTGGTCATTTCCTCCCTAGAAGAATCAGAAGCAGGTTTGTCACAGCTGCATCTGATGGTACAGACCCTAGGGCAAGATGACTCTGGAGGGTGTGCCCAAGGGAAGGAAAGAGGACCTGGGATCCTTCTTCGGGGCTATTCCTTGATTCTCTCCTTCCGTTTCTCAAGTTCTACTATCAGTTCAGACAGGATTACGGATGCTGTTACCTGAAACTACTTTGTTGAGCCTCAATGAGACAGTTCCTGAAAAGCATTATATAAATTCTGGTTGTTATCAGGTTCTTGAGGTCCTTGTAAAATAGAAGATCAGCGTCACGACACCAACAAACTGCATTTGTCATTTCCAATGACGAAAACTCACAGGGCAATATAGCTTTGCGAAACCCGTTTCTTTCCAAGGATAGCTCCGGCATACTTAAGACGACTATAAGCGAGGCCCCGCCTCCCCGGCCTCTAAGCCACGCCCCTCGAGTGAGCGCCGGTCTCCTAGGGCCCTCCGGAGTTAATTGGCACTTCTCTACACCAATAATAAGTGAAATTACTGTCAACGTCCGGCGAGGGGATGGGACTTCCGTGCTGGTTGCTAAGACACTCTTGTTCGCTCCTTGACAACCCTGGCGGGGGTGCGCTGGCAGCGGCCTCGGCTCCGGCCCCCGCGGGAGCAGGTGAGGCCGCCGGAGTGCGACGGGCAGCGCGGTGGGGAGGGCTGGCCCGGAGGGATGGAGGGAGGACGCGCCGGACGGACGAGGCCTGGCCCAGCGCGAGGCCCTGCCTTGATCCCCAGCCTGTGGTTCCCGGCCCAGGACCTCCCCTTGTCCCACGTAGAGGATCGCGGAGCTCGACAGTGACATTGTGCCCTCCCACCCTCACTGTGCAGGCCGCTTCTGCTCACCCACCCTGGGCCCTGTCTAGCTCCGTGCCCTCGTATCCTTCCTGTTCTGGCTCCCGTAGCGCCTTGTCCTCGCGCCACCCCGCTGCTGGCTGGTGGTCACAAGCTCCTTGTCCTAGACCACTTGGTTTGGAGATTTGGCGACGTCCTGGGACTCTGGGCTGACTATTGCCCGTTGGTGGGCGGGACTCAGTTTCCCCATCTATGAAAGAGACCTTAGGTTGAATCGTCGCAAAGGCCTTTTGGACTCGGACTTCCTGGGATGATGTTCTTGGACTCAAGTGTCAACTCCCCGGAGGATGTTTTCTCCCCTTTTGTGTAATGCAAAGAACTTGGCAAACCGAAGTTGGATTCTCACTTGTACGAATCCTGGCAAGTTACCTGAGATCACTCTGGGCGCCAGTCGATAGATCTGTAATCTAAAGCTGTTATTCCAAAGCCCATCTCCTTTGTACAAAGGGCCCAGTCAGTGCAGATTCAGTACTTGCTAGCTTTCTTTTCTTCTGTGTTCCTGTGTGTACACATTCATGTGAAGGCCAGGGGTGAACATTTGGTGTCTTACTCAGTCACTCTCCACCTTATATAATTTTTTTCTTTCTTTTTGTTTGTTTGTTTTCGGGATTGGGTTTCTCTGTGTAACAGCCCTGGCTGTTCTGGAACTCACTCTGTAGACCAGGCTGGCCTTGAACTCACAGAGATCTGCCTGCCTGCAGTGCTGGAATTAAAGGTGTGAACCACAGCCACCCGCCTCTCTCCACCTTATTTTTTTAAGGCAGGGTCTCTCATTGATACTCACTATTGGGCTAGACAGCTAATGGTCTCTAAGGATCCTTCCAGTTGCCTCTCCAATGCTGGGATCATAGGCACGGTTGCCACACACAGCTTTTACACAGTGCTGGGAAGAGAACCCAGGCATTCCTGTAGCAAGCGTTTTACAAACGGACCCATCTTCCCAGCCCCCGTTTCCTTCCTTTGTCTCTTACTATCTCACACTTTCCCTCCTGGGAGGAACCCAGAGATTTCCTGGGGAACCACTGAGTATCCACGGTCTGCAAATGAACTTCACATATGCTCTCCAGCTTTGATCTCTGTCCTGCACATTGTGGCTGGGGATTCTTGGCAGGGGCGGAGAAAACTGGAAGAGGTTGATATGGCGATGTGAGAGTTGGACTCATCGCTTCCCTTTCCCAACCATCCTTGATTCCGTCAGCTCGTACTCCTGATCAGATGTCTCCATTTGCATTTTGCCAGCTGCTAAAATCAAGCTGGTCTGCTTCTCTGCCTGTCCATCTGGTCTACCTGGCTTTCTCCATGCTCTGCCAGGCCTGCTCAACTTAGTTGAACTGAGTTATCAAATTGTCTTGATTCTGTCTCCATGGGGATTTCACATCCTTTCTGTTCCCGAGGCTGCCATCCTGGTCTAGGTCTTTAATACCTGTCATAGAGGTTATCGCTGTAGCTTCCTAACTGCTGCCCCTAACAACCCAAGTCACCACTGTGCTACCAGCCTCCAGGAAAGCTCCACAAAGCTAGTCACTACAGTGGTGCATCCTGCAGTCCTAGTGTTTGGGAGGCCTCAGCAGTTCAAGGTCATCTTCGGTTGCTCAGTGAGTTCAAAGCCAGCCTGTGTTACGTGAAAGCCCATCTCAAAAAACAAAACCCACACTTTTTATGCCTGGGTTTTAGGGCCCTCTGCACTTCCACAGCCCAGACCAGCCCTTTTGTTCCCTTCTCAACTGTGCTCTGTCACCAGTCCCAGGAAACCTTGAACTTTCTCTTGAAACCTGTGCATTGCCTCTCTGCCTGGAGAGCCGCCCCATGCCTGCTTGGCCGGATTCTCTCTCACCAGTGCTAATGTCTGTGCTCCCCTTCACTCTGAGCTCCTCTGTGCTCCCCTTCACTCTGAGCTACTCTCAATGCCCTCCCTTCCCCCTCCCAGTTCTCTTCCTCCTCTTTCATGTCTTTCTGCCGTGGATCATAACTCCTGGGTCAGTTTTCACATGTGCTGGAAACCCATGATGGCCGTGCTGCTTCTTGCTTAGTTGTGGAGGTGTCGAAAAGCATAGTCTTGAAGTCGTGTGTACTTGGGGTGGGACCCGGCCCTCACCTCTCAGCTGGGTGGAAAGTCACTCTGCTTTGCTCAGGCCATATGCTCATTGGTAACAGGGGGAATAGTACCTGTCTGACAGGGTTTTTTTTGGGTGGGGTATGAATTTTTGAGAGCCTGTATGTAGAATTTCTCTCTTGGTCTCTGGCTGAAGATGAGTATTAAGTAAATATATGTTTTTAAAATGTTGTGCGGGTGTATACAGGTTCATGTTTTGGAGTGCCTGTTTGTACATGTATATGGAGGCCAGAGATGGATGACGTGTATTTTTCTCAATCACTCTCCACCTGGATTGCAGGCACACAGCAGAGCATCCAGCCACCTCTGGGTGTGTGCACTTGTGAGTGAGGGGAAAGAGGGTGTGCGCATGCACCCCCAGTGTGGTGTGGAAGTCAAAGGACAATTTTTGGGAGCTGTGTCTCTTTCCACTCGGGTTCCGAGGATTTCACTCAGGTTGCCAGGACTGATTAGCAAGCACCTTTACCCATGGAGCATCCCTGCATCGCTGCCAGCTTTTCCTGTAGGTGCTGGGGCTCTGAACGCAAGTCCTCAAGCTGCTGCAGCAGACCACGCTGAGCCGTCCCAGCTCCAGTGTTGAGTATTATTGGATGGCTGTGAAAGGACCTCTCCCCTCCCATAGGGGGGGAAACATAATTTAATTCCATTTTGGTTATTTTTTGGACTTGTGCCGTGTGCCCGACACACTAGACTGCTCATTCTGGGACAGCAAAGGAGACTGAAGTCCCTGAGCTCAGGGCCTCTGGACTCACGACACATGGTGGAGTCGTGATCACTTGTAAGGTGTAAAGGCTGATTAGCAATTGTCAGTGGTTTCCTAGGAGATAAACCAGAGCTGCCTGTAATTCGAGCCTGTGATAATGTCACTTTTAATTCCTTACACTCAAATCTGTTGTGCTGAGTGCGGAAGAAGTGGGGAGGGAGCCTACGTAACCCGTGCTGTGGGCAGCTGTCTTCATGCTGTGGCTACCATGATTATGACTTTTCATTACTTGTCTCTTAACAAAAATGTTTGGGATTGCCTCTAAAATTGGGTATGTCCATGGGGGTGTACTATGTGAGTCACTGTCATTTAGCACGAGGTATTGGACAAAGAAAATGTTGAGTCGCCTAGCTCAACAAGTCAACAGATGTCTCTCTTAATTCCACCTCTCCCCCTCTCCATGATCAAAGCATAAAGAAGTTTTCGCTGGACTTCAGTGTAATTGAGAATAAGCAAAGACCTTTTAAAGCAAATGAGACAGCTTCTGTACGCGTACTCCTCTTTTTAAGGACTGCAGTTATCCCAGCTGTCAACCCATCTCTTGTGTAGAGCAGATGATGGCCTACTGCCTGCCTACCTCCATCCCTCACCCCTTCCTTCCTTCCTTCCTTCCTTCCTTCCTTCCTTCCTTTTTTTCTTAAGTGAACATTTCTTAAGACAAGGTCTCATGCTAGCCAGTGGTGGTGGCAGTGGCAGCACACACCTTTAATCCTAGAAGGTAGAGGCGGAGGCAGGTGGATCTCTATGAGTTTAAGGCCAGCCTAGTCTACAGAGTGAGTTCCAGGACAGCCAATGTTACTCAGAAAAACCCTGTCTTGGATAAAACCAAGGGGTTGGGGGCAGGGAAAGACAAGGTCTCACTCTGTTGCCTTGTTTGATCTGAAACCCATTGTGCAGGCCAGACTGGCTTCTAAGTGCTGGGATTACAGGCATGTGCCACTACACCCAGCAAGATGATGGATTTCTGATGCCCTTACAGTCAAATTGGAGAATGGCAGCCCTGGGTTTGTTTTCACTCTGGCCTGACCTGGGTAACCCAGGCCTTTAGGGAACCCTATCTCACTGCTCGTGTCCCTGAACCCTTCTCCTCCTCATCTTGTCAGCTTTGTTGTTTGTTTCCAGAGGCAGAGAGTCAACATGTCAAAAACAGGGATGTGATGACCAAGGTACACAGTGCATGTCCCATGTCCCTGGTGTGGCTGTGTGGGAGGCACAGAGAAACCACAGGTTTACCAAACAGAGCTACTGTAGGTATTTCTTGTGCAAGCATAAACCTGATTGCCTACAATTTAAAGCATATGTTGTTTTTAATGTGTCAGATTTTCTCACTATCAATGGTCAAATTAATAATCTGCATAAAGAGATAAATAAAATCTCAAGTGACCTTTGAATAGCCGTCCTGGTTAAAATGACTTTCCCCTTTCTTTGGTCCTCTGTTAGCTGGTCTTACAATTCTCTTATACTTGCCATACTAGAAGAGCAATGCAGGCAAGGCGTTCAACCTTGGCCTCTAGTACAGACACAATTTTCTCCTTAAAACCTAAAAGAGGAGGAGATGTGGGAAGCACAGAGGTCTTTGTGCTCACAAATGAGCATAAGGGGAAACTGGGATTTTAAACACACAGGGTTGCTTCTTCAAAGAAAGGGATGCAAACCTAGTATCCCACCCAAAAGGCTGGGAGCAGATGTGGCTAATAGCCTGGGGACCTTCACGCTATCTGTGTGGCTGAGACCACACTGCATCCTCCCCAAGACGCTTATCATGAGCTTGTCTTTCTGGAAGACATCCCATGTGCTTTGCAGAGAGTTTTGATGTAGTCATGTCTTAAGCTTTGTTGTACACATTGGATTGAGTTAAATTATGACCAGGAAAATCTCACTGTCTGTGCTGTCCTCAAATATACCTAAAATATACCACTTCAGGTCAGACTCGAGAAGTTTGAATCAACACCCGGTACTTAGTTATATTGAACCTAAGTACTTTCTTACCTCCTGCAGATCATTACTCTGCTGGCCGGGGTGCTTGCAGAGACCCCCAAATGGGTAGAGGCAGGAGGCAGGCACAGATAGGTGACTGAGCTGATGCCAATATTGAAATTATTTCTTCCAAGGAATAAAGCATGATAAAGTCGAGAGGATGGATCTGGACTCAGATCCTGGCTCTGCAAATGCTGGCTGTTCACTCTTGGGCCAGCCACCAAGCCTTCCTGAGCACTAGGTGCCTGATTCTCCCCCTCCCCTAAGAGCTAGAAGCCAGTTCACTGGGGAGCTCCTTTAGTGTTGAGATGAAGCAGTGAATGTGAAGGTGAAGCTAGAATGTAGTCACGCCCCCACCACCATTGGCCAACCCAGGTTTTGCTGATGTCCTCGTGACTCTCTTCCTCCAGTGCTGAAGTCGAGGCTGACCCGCAGTGCGACTGGGGAAATGATAGTGTGTGACCCAGATGCTTAAATACATGATTGGCTCCTATGAAGAAAGATAGCAAAGTTCCTCTTCCTGACACTCCAGAAACCGGTGCTGATCCTTACTGTGAGGTAGAGCCTGCTCAGCCCACTTCCAGATTCAAAGTTGAGGCTTAGGGGCAGGAGTAGTAGCCAGGATCAGAACAGATGTGAATTCAGACCCACCCGAAGAGTGTCTTTGGAAAGACCATGACACACTCCAAAAGGGTCCTGCAGTCTCTTGGTTATGTAGTGGGTTATAAGCCTAAGGGCCAAGGATGTTCCAAGTATTAAGTGTCAGCACATAAGCACATGCACACAGGTACATATATACATGTGTGCTCATTCACGCGCACACACGCACAACCTCCCCCCCATGCATACATAGGCATGCACATACACAGTTGGTAGATGCTTTTGACTTTACTTCCCAGAGACCATGTATTTTCCCCAAACCTCCCCCACACTCTAACCCTCTTAAAGATTCTCCTCAAATACTTAAGAAACAAAGTAACAAAAAAAAAAAAAGAAAGAAACAAAGAAACAAAGTACCAAACGGTGACTTGTTCTCCTTTCACAGCGAGCAAGACCTTCCAGACAGGCACACTGGCTTTGAAAAGGCAATGGGGCAGCCCTGTGTGTACCTCTTGAATGGGGCTATGAAGAGCACTAAAGGAATCCTAGAGGGAGAGCCAGTTCATGCTGGGCCAGGTGCTGACCGTGGCACACTTACATTTTTAAAAAGTGTGGTTTGGTCGGAGGAGCCTCTCTCAGGCACATGCTCATTCCCATGGGAGATTGGTAAAGTTATTAGAGCCCCAGTTGTGCTATTTTAGGTAGCACACATTTAGCAGGGTGCGCTAATCATGGCTGAATGAGTGCAGCTGCACCAGAATGATACGGGGTCATAAAACTGCCTTCCCTTTCTGTGTGGAAGCCGCCGTCTACAACACTTGCTCTTCCACTGTAAGTCTTCCCTGTTTGGGACTGCTGGGAGAACAGGAGGGGATCAGGAACGCTCGTGTGTTCGTGGACCATGGTCCAGAGTATACGTGGTTGAATAACGCTGGCTGGGTCCTGGCCGGAGGGACCGCACTCCTAAAGAACAGAACATCGGGAAGTACAGGGCACTGGGGGTCATACCACTCAAACAATGCTGTGTTAGTCTGCCAAGAATGAGGAAGCCATCTTCAAGAAGCCCAGGCCTGGCTGTGGCCCCTTATTCATGGCTCCAAAGCCGAGGAAGTAGGCAGAAGTCTGTTGTAATGTAGAAAAGCAGTGTGCGAGAGAAATGTCATGCAACAGAGATCAGGTGGAGGGGTTTTTCATTGGGGGAAAGTGAGTGGGAAATGAGGGAGGGGAAAGGGGAGACTGGCCTCTGGGGACAGGAGTGGCAGAAGAAAGAGAAAGAGACAGGCAGACAGAGAAAGGGGGGAGATGAGAGGTGGGCAGGGCCCTTTTAAAGGGGAACGTGGTGAATGTGCACAGGAGGTGCTCTTAGTGGCTACAGCTGAGGATGTATACCCCAAGGTCAGGCCAGCTCAGATGCCTGAATACTAAGAAATGTTACCTACCCCCCCCCACCCCCCCCCACCCCCGCATCTAGACCTCAGTATTTCATTGATTTGTTGACTTATGTATCCATTTTGCAGCTTTAGGGACAGAACTCAAGACCTTGCACCTGCTAAGCATGTGCTTTTTCCCTTAGTCGCCCCTGCAAGCACCTGTCTGACTTGGCGTCCTCCACTCCATGCGCGGCTCCCTGGAACTATCCTAGGCCTTTCTCCCTCTTCATTCCTGAAGAGCAACTCTGGTAGCCTATGAAGTTCTGTGACCTCCCACAGATTCTGTTTTGAGGCCAATATAGATATGATTGCCTTGAGGTTGGTGTGCATCATGGGTTCTGTGTTCCCTCCTGTCCCCTCCTGGCAGCCTTTCTTAGCTCTGAAGATGAATCAACTTGAGTTGAAACACTTAAGTGGAAGATGCTGGAGCAGCTGCTTCCACACTTTAAGTCGTTCCCACTTGGGATTCTCGGAGGTAAACAAAGTGGAAAGCCCTGGCACCCCCTGCCATACCGCCTTGGTGAAGGTAGCTGAGGAGGCAATAGCATGGTGTTACTAAAGCTAAGAACACAGGATGGGCTGGGCGACAGGCTTTTGCACTAGTGAGCAGAGATGAATGGCCCTTTGGATTTTGAGGAACAAGAAACCTGACCGGAAAGTGCAGTGAGACTGTGCTTGGTAAACAGCCAGCACATATGTAGAGACAAACAAAACCCGCTGAAACCCAAGTTGTACAAATGCCCAGACTTAGAAGATAAGTGGAGCCATCTGTCCTCTGGGGAATCAGAAAACACCAGTTTCGTGGAGTGGTGGAGTCCGTGCCAAGCTTTGAGCCTTGCCTGAGGATGCCCACCAATGGTGTGGCCCTGGGGGTGGCTGCAGCATCAGGGAGGGTGTGATCTAGGAGCACAATGCAGCCTGGAAAGAGTATCCAGAAAGCTCAGTGCTCAGCCAGGCCAGATGGCAGTCACCCTCGGATGATGGGAGGGGAGGTGCCACACTTGTGGTCAAGTGTGCAGCAAGGGCCCATGTGTGTGCATGAAGTGAGGGAGTGGCTCTAGGGCAATGCTGTAGCCAGTGGCTCTCCTCTCTGCTGAGCTGAGTGACCTCAGGCCAGAGGTTGCAGCTCTTCTGCCACCACACCCGGGCTCTAACTTCTGCATAAAGTTCTGCATAAAGACTAAGTGCAGGGAATGGGGGCTGGTGCATGGCAGTTAATCCGTATCACCTCCTTTACCACCCGTTGGCCAGGTGCCCTATTCCCAGCTATTTGTAGACTGAAACAGGAGGATCATTTGAGACCAGAAACTCCAAGCAGGCTTGGAAAACCACTGTCTCATAATCTACATACCTCTTGGTTACTATGCTGACCATCTTGGGGTTCAGTGGCCATGCAGTGAAATTGAGTTTATTATAAATTTAAGAAATGTGGCTGAACCAGGCAGTGGTAGCACACCTTTAATCCCAGCACTCAGGAGGCAGAGGCGGACAGATCTCTGTGAGTTCAAGGCCAGCTTGGTCTACAGAACTAGTTCCTGGACAGCCAGAGTGCTTACACAGAGAAACCCTGTCTTGAAAAACAAAACAAAAAAAAAAGGAACAACAACAAAAAAAAATTCTGCTGTGATGTGTGACCTCATTTGTCAGTGTAAATTGCAGAAAGATTGTCATCACAGTGATTTATACTCATGCATGTCAGGGCCTCTGAGAGAAAGCCCTTTGATTTCATTCTTGGGTGCATGAAACTGGGGTAAAGAAGCATCGTGACTTCTGCAGGGCTGGTGGTCATTTAGGGTATAGTCCATCTGTTTGTGAAAAGCTCTGCCTGTCATTAGTTGCCTAGATCTGGTGGGAAGGGGCTTGTGTGTATTTAAGAGTCTAGAAACCCTGTCTCAAAAAAACCCTGTCTCATTGAGTCCCCTGTGAGCCAGAGGAAGGAGAGACAGCCACTGACCAGGTGACACCCACATGCCTGGCTCTGTGTGCTGGTCCACATGCCTTGTTTCATTGAGCTCCCTGCCACGGATGTGGCTCCAGTCACTCATGAGAACTCCTGAACCAGTGCCTGGACCTCCCAGCTCCTGGACCAGCTAGACAGGATCTGGTGGCTCTGGGGAGAGTAGGCAGGGACTATCAAGGCACCCAGTGTGCCACGAAAGCTACCACGCAACATTGTTCCTATTCTGCAGAGCAGGGTCCTGCAGAAGGGATCCCTCCCTTGGTGACAGGCCCAAATTGTCAGTGGTCACCTGTGCATTTGGCTTCCTTAGTACCAGACAGACTGTCATGGCACTCAGAAACTGTCCTTGCTAATTGGTAGCTGTCGGCTCCATCCCTGGCCTGGCCCACAATCAGTATCTGTCTTGACAATGACAGTGTGTTCTTGCAGCATCTCTGGTTGACTCACCCTCCGTCTGCAGACTTGCTGGCCATTTGGGAAAGGAGGCAGAGGCGTTGAGATGGGGAGGTGTCATATTGTCACTGAGACATTTCTAATTTGTGATGTGTGGTTTTGAAGCCAACTCTTCCCTCCTGCTTTTCCTGTTCTTTGCAGCACCCCTTGGGGAAAGACATTTTCTGCTCCTGCTAAGTTGGCAAGGCCTGCTTCCCCAGCCTCCTGAGCAGCGTGACTGCTGGGCCCAGCGCCTCCTGAACGTCCCACCCTCTCCTCCTGAGGGCACACTGGGAGAATCATGGGAGAGACAGAAGGGAAGAAAGAGGAGGCTGACTATAAGCGGCTGCAGACTTTCCCCCTGGTCAGGGTAAGCCTGGGGAGGGAAGAAAGTGGCCACTAGACCCCACAGTCTGCAAGGGGGTGGAGCTTGCAGTCTGCAGGAAGAAGGCTCTGCTGGCTCCAACCCAGACATCCTACAGTCACAGTGATTCATTCTTTCATCCATTCATTCATTCACCAAGTTAGTTCAGGCCACCTGCTGTCTGCCAAGCATGGTCTAGACACTGTGGAGATGATGGCAAACAAGGCCATGACGGACCAGCCTGTGCAAAAGGACACAGCAGCAAGCTTTAAGTGCTGCAGAGAAGAGCTGCTACCGAGGCCCGCTCCTGCAAGAAATCAGTTCAGTGACCCTCATCAAGTTAGGTGGCAGGCCTTGCAGGAACCCGAGGAAAGACCTGCCCCTCAGAGAAGCAGGAGGCACAGGAGACTTAGTGGGACAAGTTTGGCACCATCAACTTGGCTGGCTTGAGCCCCTGAGGAGTGGCAGATGGGGGGTCAGAGCGAGGGTGGGGCTAGTCTGTGCAGGCCTGGCTGGCAGCTGTGAGAGACACCTGGTGAGGAATGTGGATTCTGTCCAGAGGTTCAGAGAGCAGTGAGGGGCAGAAGTGACATTGTCTGTGTCCTTAGCTAATCACTCTCACTGTAGTTAGGAGAGCCAACCCAGAGGGAGTGCTGAGCCTGCCCTGGCGGTGATAGGAGTGGAGGCCAAGCTGCTCACTAGGGGTGGGATCTGGGTGGGCCAGAGTCAAGAAAAAGTCCTTGTTCCCAAGAAGAGCAGGTTTGAGGGGAAACTGGGAGATGTTTGAGAAAACCAAGTGCGGTTCACCGGGCGGTGGGACCTGGGAGTCTAGAGCCCCAGGAGGGCGAGAAAATATGGAGCCCTCTCTCCCTTTTGGAAGGCACAGCTGTTGGAAGGACTTGGCTGGAGAGGGAGAGGATGAAGACAGGCCCGAACGTCCATATGGGAGGAGGAGGAACCTGGCTAACTGCCTGAGAAAAGAACCAAGGAGTGGCCCGGCTCTGAAGGAGAGCCCACTTCTCATGCTGGGCTCCTCCCACACATGTTCCTTGGTGGGAACATGGACCCTTGCAGAGGGGCAGGGGCCCCAGACCACGCAGCCATACAACACACGCGCTCCACCCCAGCTGTAGGCCCCAGTCAGGGATAAACCACTACCCAGGACTGGGCAAGGGAAGCCACCTAGTGTCTGTGCCTTAAGCTTAAGACCGAGAGGCTGGCCAGAAAGGCCAGGTCGCGGGCTAAGCCTCTCTCTGTTTGTCACCCTGCCCTGTCTCTAGCACTCGGACATGCCAGAGGAGATGCGAGTGGAGACCATGGAGCTTTGTGTCACAGCCTGTGAGAAATTCTCCAACAACAACGAGGTATTGCCATCAGTGCAGGCGGCCCTCGTGCCTCTGGTGACCCTGTGTGTGATAGAGGGGCTCCAGAGCCCTGTAGCCAGCTCCAGAGTCCTGCCAGGACAAAGCTAGAGCCTTGCTTGGAAGTGGTCACTGTTCTGGAAGGCCAGTGAGAGAAGAGGTCGGTTCTAGCCAGGGTACCAAGGGCCACACCAGCCCCAAAGGGAGGGAAGCCAGCAGGGTCTCATACCACCTCTGTCCCCAGACTCAAGTGGGTTATTGGCTAGGGCATCTTTCTGGGCTCCATCCCAGCCATGAGCAGAGGTCTGCCAGGCATTCATCCATGAATTCATCCATCCATTCCGAAAGGGTGGAGTCCCAGCTCAGCCACAGGTGTTGCTGTGGGTCTTGGGAATATGGCCCCAGGTATCAGCCCAGCAGTGCCATTCATGAGGCTGTGGTGTGCAAGGAAGCAGTGGTATGGCCATATCCCGTCTGCACCCTTCCCTCGCTGTGTTCTCAAGACAAGCCATTTCTCAGCTCTGAACACAGAGCCCTAGTCTGTAGGCTAGGGGTGGTGGTGCCTCTTTCCTGAGCCACTGAGGTGATGGGGACATGGTGCTCAGTGTTCCTAAACCTCTTCATGCTGAAGGAAGCTTTGGAAAGAGCCTCCATGGGCAGTGGAATGCCATTGCTATGACTGGGGTCTTCCTGGGACCTGCCACACTTGCTGATCACAGCGTTCCTCAGGGCACCCCTCAGGGCACCCCTCAGGGCCCATGTTGTACCCTCACACTTTGTTTTTTTCCTCTGGTCTCTACAACAGCCCTGTGCCCTGTTTTACGGGTTCACAGCTGAGGATCTTGGTGCTGGTCTGGAACCCAGAGTGATACAGCCAGCCCTCAGCCCAGGCTTCCTCAAGCCTCCATTTCTTCCTGCTGTCCCCAGTTCCTTCCTGATGAGGTGTCCAGGTGCTGTTCCCATGTCATAGCCCTGCAGGAGGTGCTGCCCAGAGCCATCTGTGCTGATGCTGTAGGCGGGGGCAGCAGCCATTTTCTGCGTAGAGCTCAGAGCCAGGCTTCTCCTTCCTGGTGTGGGAACTGGCTTGTACCTATCACTGCCGCTGACTGGCACCTTTCCTTCCAGAGCGCTGCAAAGATGATCAAGGAGACAATGGACAAGAAGTTCGGCTCCTCCTGGCATGTGGTGATCGGCGAGGGCTTTGGGTTCGAGATCACCCATGAGGTGAAGAACCTCCTGTACCTGTACTTCGGGGGAACCCTGGCTGTGTGTGTGTGGAAGTGCTCCTGACAGCACCCACAGCTCTCCTGCCTCTCCTCTGGGCTGGGGAGCAGCCCTAGGCAGAGCCTGGCTCCTGCAAGGAGAGTACAGAGTTTTCTTTTGCCCTTGTGTACCAGTTTCCTGAGCCACATCCAGGTGTGAATTTTGTGACATCTCCACTCCCAGGCTCTCCATTGTCTCCCTCTGAGTCCTGACCTGTGGACAGGCTTCTCTGTGTGCATGAGGGGTGGGATTGTGTGACGGGTGAAGAGGGTGAGGTCATGGGATTTTTCTCCTTGGAATGGACTGGTCCCACCCTCCATCCCAGGAGCCCAAAGCCCTTCTGCCCCCAGGACTGCTGGGAAGTATCTCCTCTCATGAGACACAGGACACTTCTCTCCTTGTCATTGGGGAAGAGATTCCCTCTCCCTTCCCCAGCCTAACCCGGAGCTGAACAAACCACCATTTCTTACTGGACCAGCAGTTCATAGCCCTGGCTTTGGCATGAGGATCACACAGTCTTCCTGTCCCCTTCTCTCTCCCAGCCCGGGCCACACATCCATAGCACCTCCATCATATCAGCCGCATGGCTGAGAGCTGGGCCGTGGTGCAGAGCGAGTTCTCAAGCTGTTGCTGAACTCCGGTGAGACACCTGGGCCAGGAGTGCGCTCACCGCGAGGCCCCCTTAGCAGGGAACCTGGCCTGCCAGGACTTCATCAGGGACCGCATGCTCTTTGTACTTCTTACCTTGCTGGCTTTTCTAGATTCTTTTTGAGTGTGGGGAGAAGGGTTTTAGTAGAAGGGTGAACCATATTTTACACAGCGGTCTTATTTATATAAACGTCTTGGTTTTTACAATTAAAATGACTAAAAGCTAAACTTAGTCTATGTTGTACTGAAGTATCCTGGAAGAAGGGCTCTGGGCTGCGTGTTCAGTTGTAACAGATTTCTATTAGATCCCCTGGACAGTGGTGCAACAAAGACCAGTGCTCCTGGGGGGGGGGGGGAATGCTTGTGTGTGTATGTGCACATGTGTGCACACATGAGCAGGCCTGGAGAAGCGGCACCAAAGTCATCTGGGCAGATGTGAGGAGCAGGAACTAGCCCTCCTGGATTAGGTGGGAGAGTTCCTTGACCCCATTGGGGTTGCTGCCAGAGAGATGGGCAACCCTGTGCGTGGGACTGGAAGGGGTGACCAGGTGCGGTGGTGCAGGAGGCATTGAAGGGGCTCCAGCCTGGAATAGCTGTGGCTGATTGGTACCTGCTTTGCATCTGTTCTCCCCTTAATCTGCCTCACGGGGGTGCTGGCAAATGAGGCCAGTTTAGCAGTAGCCAAGGTAGCGTAGTGGCTGGGATTATGGGTTCCAGGGTCCCCAGATCTGGTTCCTCTGTTATGTTCTAGGCCACCGCAGTTTTGTCTGTAGAGTGGGCATGACACTTGCCTGCAGAGGATGTGTGGCCACTGACAGGCAAGTAGATGATAGGGCACCATAGCAGGGTACTTTCCTGGACAGTCCTCCTCGACTCCTTTTTCCTCCTCACAGTGTGTGGAAAGATAATTAGTTTAAGGGTAAAAGCTAAAGAGATGTTGTCATGGCTATTAATCAAGTGTCCCTCCCTGCTTCCCGCACCTGAAATCATAGTTTACTACTTAATGAGCCCTCTGATGTTAGCTTTAATTCTCGACACCACCTGGAACCACCTGGGAAGCGCCTCAGTGAGGGACTGTCGCCATTGGGATGACCTGTGGCCTGTCTGTGGGAGGCATCTCAAGTTAACTGATGCAGAAAGACCCAGCCCACTATGGGTGGCACCAATCCTAGGAAAGGGGCCCTGAACTGTGTAAAGAGTGAAGAATCTGAGCAAAGCTCAAGCAAGCGAGCCTGTCTGCTCTTGACTGGATGTGGTGTGATTGATGCTTCAACCTCCCCACAGTGACTATAACCTGGAAGTCAGACCCAAAATAAACCCTTTCTTGATGTTTTTCTGTCGGCTTAGTGGCTGCGAATGAATTTACTGATATTTTCATTATTGTCTGCTGCCCCACGGCCACTCAGGCTGTGGTCTGTAGTCCCGGTTCTGGCTGTCCTGGAACTCTGTAGACCAGGCTCACAGATCCACCTGCCTCTGCCTTCAGAGTGCTGGGATTAAAGGCCTGTGCCACCACCGCCCAGTTCAGGTCTATTTCTAAAAGCCTGTTTTGGCCAGCTGACCATGCCCTCCTCTGATAGAGCTCTTGGCCATGAATCTCCAGGATAGGTGCCCAGAGGTTCTTTTCTTGTTCCCAGGAACTCTGCTTTCCTGTGTTCTGAGGTCCATGCTGTCCATGGTCACCCAGGCCTTCCCCTCAGGGTGGCTGCCAGCTAAGAGGAGAGTGCATTACCACACAGAGCACAGTGTCTTTGCTGGCCAGTGGCCAAGCAGGTGAGACATAGCCCTGGGAACTAAGACTGGCTCACTGAGATCGTTTGCCAGCAAGAGAAGGTGGGGCTTATGGAAGCAGCAGCTCACCACCTAGGAGAAGATGAAGGGAAGCTGGGACCGGCTGCCTGAAGAGGATGAAGGGAAGCTGGGACCGGCTGTCTGAATAGAATGAAGGGAAGCTGGGACCGGCTGCCTGAAGAGGATGAAGAGAAGCTGGGACTGGCTGCCTGAAGAAGATGAAGAGAAGCTAGGACCGGCTGCCTGGAGAGGATGAAGGGAAGCTGGGACTGGCTGCCTGAAGAAGATGAAGAGAAGCTGGGACCGGCTGCCTGGAGAGGTTGCAGCCTAGGGCCTTAGCATTTCTTCCTCTGTGAAAGTCCCCCACCTGACAGCCCTGGGCTTCCTCGCTTGCATAACATGTCATGTAATCCTCAGCAGACCTTGGAGGAATCGCCATCATTTACAAGTGGAGAAACTAAGACTCGGAGAATGAATAGCCCAAGGTCTCGCCAGGAAGCAACTCCAGGCAGGATCAGGCCTAGGCTGCCAGGCTTTTGTCCTCTTGGTGCCTGCTTCCTCCTGGGCTCCACATCCCAACTATGGTCTTGGCACACCTATTGTCTAGCTTCTTCCCCCTTAGAGAAGGCATATCTACTGGCGTTATGGCTCTCCGCTGCCATCTGTCGTACAGGGAACACCTTGGTCCCCTCCTGCACCAGCATGAGTCCATGTCTTCAAGGGGAGTAGACAGCCTTCTCACACACAGTTGGAAACCAAGTACCAAGATGTCACCAGGAGGAGCGATGACTCAGAGCCCAGAGAATGGCATCCGAGTGCCCCCTGAGCACCACAAAGACCAAGAACCACAGGCTCCAAGGAGAGTGGAGGATGCTAAAGGACTGCCCTAATGAGGTAGAGGGTAAGGACTTGGCCTTGGCAACCAGGGCAGGTGGGCAGCTGGAGGGGCACAGCCTTTGAAGCTCATGGGACCTACAGAGAATCTTCTAGTGAATATTGCATGTTGCCTTGGAAAGGGGGAGAGAAACCCCAGGACCTCACTTAACCTACTTCCTGCTTTTCAGAGGCCACCCTACAGCCAGGCAGGAAGTTTCCCCCCCAGTGGTGGAGTGCTGGTCCAAACCAGGAGAGTCCTGTTGCCCTATCCCAGCAGGCAAGCCTGACTGCGCTGCAAGGCTGTCACAGGCTGCTGGTGGCTTGGGACCCTAGATCCCTCCCCCAAGTTTCGAGGGTGGTTGGTGTAGCCACTAACCACCCCCTTGTTCTATTTTCCCTTTGTTCTCCTCTTATATATAAAGCAACCACCTCCCACTGCCAGCTGCTGTCTTCAATCCTTAGAAAGACGTTGGGGTTGGGGGCAGAGCAAGCCACCAGAGGCCGAAGGTTTGTATTATTAATGAAATCTCTAGACTCTTGGGTGTGTGAATGTGCTGGGATCTGTGCTGAGCGTGCAGTACATTGGGTCTCCTTAGGCTCTTCTGTCAATTCCGGGATCACTCTCACAAGTAAAGGCCCTCTCACAGGTGGTGGTCTTCTCACACTTGATGACCTCACAGGTGATGAAGGCCTTCTGACAGATGAAGGCCCTCTCACAGGTGATGATGGCCCTCTCACAGGTGATGGCGGCCTTCTCACAGGTGATGATCTTCTCACAGGTGATGATGGCCCTCTCACAGGTGATGATGGCCCTCTCACAGGTGATGATGGCCTTCTCACAGGTGATGGTCTTCTCACAGGTGATGATGGCCCTCTCACAGGTGATGAAGACCCTCTCACAGGTGATGGTCTTCTCACAGGTGATGATGGCCCTCTCACAGGTGAAGGCCCTCTCACAGATGATGATGGCCTTCTCACGGGTGATGGTCCTCTCACAGGTGATGACGGCCTTCTCACAGGTGATGATGGCCCTTTCACAGGTGATGACGGCCCTCTCACAAGTGATGGCCCTCTCACAGGTTATGACGGCCTTCTCACAGGTGATGATGGCCCTTTCACAGGTGATGATGGCCCTCTCACAGGTGATGGCCCTCTCACAGGTGATGATGGCCTTCTCACAGGTGATGACGGCCTTCTCACAGGTGACAGCCTTCTCACAGGTGATGATGGCCCTCTCACAGGTGATGACGGCCTTCTCACAGGTGATGGCCTTCTCACAGGTGATGATGGCCCTCTCACAGGTGATGGCCCTCTCACAGGTGATGATGGCCCTCTCACAGGTGATGACGGCCTTCTCACAGGTGATGGCCTTCTCACAGGTGATGATGGCCCTCTCACAGGTGATGGCCTTCTCACAGGTGATGATGGCCCTCTCACAGGTGATGATGGCCCTCTCACAGGTGATGATGGCCCTCTCACAGGTGATGGCCCTCTCACAGGTGATGATGGCCTTCTCACAGGTGATGACGGCCTTCTCACAGGTGACAGCCTTCTCACAGGTAATGATGGCCCTCTCACAGGTGATGACGGCCTTCTCAAAGGTGACGGCCTTCTCACAGGTGATGATGGCCCTCTCACAGGTGATGACGGCCTTCTCACAGGTAAAGGTCCTCTCAGAGGTGATGATGGCCTTCTCACAGGTAAAGGCCCTCTCACAGGTAAAGAGTTAGGCCCAGTGATTACAGGACAGAGCAGGATTCAGGTAGGCAGCTGTGACCCCAGAGCCCAGCTCAAAACTGCTCAGGTAGCTACTGCCTGCTGGAACAAACTCATTTGATCTCTGTGTCTTCATATGCAGGATAAGGATCCCCTCCTGCCCCAGGTGAATGGTGAGGCCCGAGAAGAAGAAGCCATGAATCTTCTCTGGATTGCTAGGGTTCATGAATTTGGGTCAGGCTAGTGTAGAGCCCAGTGCTCCCTTCCTGAGACAAACCACTGGGGATCTGGAAGGCTGGGCTGAGGGGGGCAAAATGGTTACTATCTCCACTCCTCTTTTAGCCCCTAAGCTCTGCAAAGTTAAATCGGAAAAGGCAGGGTGACCAGTGCCCACCTTTGACCAGTGACAGAGGACACACGCAGCTGGGGCCAGACCCTGAGCGTTCATCTTGAGCTGAGGCAGTCTCCTGCAGCATGAGCACCCATGTGGGGGCTTTGCCACTGACCAGGCAGCATCCCTGCTGTGTGTCCTTCCAACCTCCAAACAACCCAGTGATGTAAGCTAGGAAGATCAAATAAGAACTTTTGACACACCAGAGTGGAGCAGGCTCGGGGGGAGGGTCTCTGAAGTGGGATTCCCCTCTGTATGCTATGAATATGTTTTATTACCATTAGTTATTAAAAAAGCTGTTTTGGCCAATGGCTTAGTAGAGTAAAGCCAGGTGGGAAATCCAAACAGAGGTATAAAGAGAAAATAGGCGGAGTCAGAGAGATGCCATGTAGCTGCCAAAAGAGAAAGACACCAGATGCTAGCCAGACATTTACCAGTAGACCATAGCCTCGTGGTGATTTACAGATTAATAGAAATGGGTTAATTTAAGATGTAAGAGTTAGCTAGAAATATGCATAAGCTATTGGCCAAACGTTGTTGTAATTAATATAATTTCTGTGTTATTATTCGGGTCTGGGTGGCCGGGAAACAAAAGAGCAGTCTCTACCTACAGATCTTACCGTGTGCTATAGCTCAGGATACAGCAAGAGTGGTATAGACCCCACTCTGCCTTCCCCCGCAGTGTTGATACCTATCCAGTTATTGTGTGTGTGTGTGTGTGTGTGTCCCCTGTGCCTTCTCATCTTCCACCATGGCATCAGCACCTGCTGCACCTTAGTTACCCCGGAACTGAGGAATGCAGGGGCTGTGTGCTCTGTGCACACCCAGTGCCTGGCACAGGGCGTCACATACATGACACTGCACATGCAAGCCACATGTGGTTCTTCACACACGTATTCCCATCACTTGGCAAACGTATGTAAGAGAAGCCAGTTAGAAAGCCCTGGGGAAGTGAGGAGGGTTCCAGCTTTTCAGCCAAAGATGTGACGTATAGGGATTAGGCAGAGCCATGCCCATATGTTATGACAGAAGGAAGGAGCCTGGAGCAGTGGGCATTGTGACTTATGAGGCAGCAAGGCCACAGAACAGGGACTGGGAACTTGTCTCTTCTCCCAGCTTTGAGGGTCTGAAGGGGAACACAAGAGAGCTAGGCCTGTAAGAACTTGACCTGCTGGTCCACAATGGACCTGGCTGCAGGCCATGCTGCAGGTACGGGTCTTAGTGACCTCTTCACTCACATCTGCATCACACTCTGAGTCCCCGCTCACACACTGAGTCCCTGCTCACACACTGAGTCTCTGCTCACACACTGAGTCCCCGCTCACACACTGAGTCCCTGCTCACACACTGAGTCTCCGCTCACACACTGAGTCTCCCCGCTCACACTCTGAGTCCCTGCTCACACACTGAGTCTCCCCGCTCACACTCTGAGTCCCCGCTCAAACTCTGACTCTCCCCGCTCACACACTGAGTCCCCGCTCACACTCTGAGTCTCCCCGCTCACACTCTAAGTCCCCGCTTACACACTGAGTCCCCCC